AAGTCTGAGCATATGATAAAATACAAATCTTCAACATGCTGCTTTGTAATCTTCCAATATTATTATAAAGCAAACACTTTGGACACACCCAAATTAACAACAGAGCCAAATTAGTTGCCAGGTTACCTTGTCTCAACAGAACTTCAACCTGGGAAATGTCAACATCAATTCACACCATGTCAAATATTTCAATAAATGACTTACAACTAACGGTGGGGCATCTGAGGAGATGGTTCCGGTTTTATTGTTCACAGAGAGTTAAAATCTGCTTTTAACACCACATGTAGGCCAATACAAAACCTTCTAAATCTTTTGACAGGGATTGAAAAACTTCACAGGGTGCCAATGGTTGAGTACTGTAGATTTAGGTTATTGTGTCTGGATAAATAGAAGAAGTCAAATTACAACAGTCTTTAGATCGAATGTAGCAACATCCAAAAGGTGACACGCCTATAAGACAGTGGGTAGCAAGTACAATGTAGTGTCCACCAAGATATGCTATTGGACTGCTTGTGGTAAAGGTAACTATAGGTCATTAGTCTTGACAGCTGTCTGATGAACAAGTTTGATCAGTTATTGAGGTCAATCACACAAACGGAGACCAGCAGCAGTAGCACCCCACCCTATATGGAAAATGTCAACAAACAGTACGGCAATGACAAAAACGGATTAACTTGACATTGTAACAAAGACAGGGAGCCAATAAATTACATTTCATTCGAATATTTTGGTAGTTTTTCACCTTACCAAACGTTTTTGTGGTCAGTATTTTTATTCTAAATATACATTAAGTTCATGTTGCCCAAAGTCCATAGTCAGAATTTCCCATGATCACTTCACTGACCATCACTTGTCTGTGTCACTATCTGGGCTAGCATGGGAATCAGTCCAGCGGTCTCTACTCTATCATTCTCTTTTCTGGTTAAACACACAAACTGTGCCACAGGTCACAACCTATTGCTTAAGAGGAACACTTCATCCTCTGACATGGCGTCAGTGAGTAACACATCCAAGGAAATTCACTGAAATAAAAAATTAAAAAAAGAGGAGAGGTTGCACATTGCTTCTCCAATATTACGATAACAAGAGGTCAATGTCCTCTCCCTTGGCCCTGCTGATGAGGAAGTGGAGATTTTCTCACCATTGCTGGTGATGTGGTTGTCTCCATTGCTTTGCTGATGCTCTCCCTGGTTGCACTCCCCATCCAAAGAGCTGTCCAAATCAGGGAAGGTGGGCATCTTAGGGATGGCTCGGGAGCGGGACCGGAGGACACAGTCATCCCCAGTCTCCATCCTGAAGAAAAACAGGTAACTTCAGTTAAAAACAAACCAGTGACCAGCAGCATCACCAAAGTAAAAGGCAGCAAGTCTTGAGGACTCACACAGGAGCGAGCTCATGGTAGCATGGGTAAGAATGCTAAGGATTTTAGACTGACAAATAAAGCAAACACAGCTGACAATCAGATCACTCTCACATGACACGCAGCAGACAGACAGACAGACAGACAGACAGACAGCTAACACTTCAGTTAGCTGTTATTAAGACTCAGTGTGAATTCATGAGCTAACTGCACATATTAAAGCTAAACAGCCACCTGGTTTAAGGCTGCCTCTCACTGTAAAGCGTCCGCCTCACGGCTGCTAGCCCTGGGTGACATCTATTGGTCAAACTAGCCAACTTGTTGACGTCCATCGTTGGCTAGAGACCAGGTTGACAGACATCGAAGGAAATATAAAAATGCCGCCTACCGGATACTTCCTGGACACCTACTCGCTTCAGCCGCCGTCGTGCTGTCTTGTAAAGTCAATCTCCGACGTTTTCGAGTACAAACTCAGATGTGAGACTGCTTTAGATCACAACAGTCTGTGCTGCTGCTCACCTTCCCCATTGTATTAACACAGGAGATGAGGAACAGGGCAGTCGACGCTGATTGGTTGAAAGTCTCTCCTCCTTTCGACGTCACCAGCGCCCACAATGTTGACCATAGCTGTCATCAGACTCCAGCTCATCGGGCTGCTTTGTGACTAATTAAATGAAACTTGCTGCAACATGCAAAATTTAATAAAATGTTTACTTGCTTTGAGAGTTAGGTAAAATCCTAATTACACCCCAAAATACTGAACAGTTACAAGTCTCTAAATAGGACTACCGTAAAGCCTGGGCTTTTATTTTCTTCTATCATTGAGCTCAACCTGCCTTTATTTGGAACAGTCCTTTATATGTGACAGGCATTTAATTTTTTTTTTTTTTTTTACGCAAAACCCTTGCTCAGCAAAGATGGGAAACACTATACAATTATTTATTTGACTCTTTGCTGCTCATGGTTTCTGTAAAATGATCCGAAGGATTGAACTGTGGAGAATCTCATAATGTGGAGCATGTGCTCATTGATAAAACAATTATATTTAAACTCAGAACTCACTCAAGCAGGCAACCCGGTGGGCTTTTAAGAGGTTTTATACATTCAAATAACTTCTATAAAACCAGACCAGGCCTCTAACTGCATACTGTATGTACTGTATCTACAGTAGATTCTGTCATAGCCACCTACCCCATGTACATAAAGATACCTGCAAGACAAATATTTATTTCAGCACCATTGCACTATTGTTTACTGTCTACAAATGTTTGTTTATATATGTATAACTGTACATATAAAGTCCATGTGTTTTTTGTTAAACTTGTTCTGTTTATTTATGCTGTCAGTCTGTGTTTGTACATTGAGAGCAACGGAAAACCGGAGTCAAATTTCTTGTATGTGCGCACATACCTGGCCAATAAAAGTGATTCTGATTCTAATTGAGACCTGTAGCCACACCCACACCAGGCTAGTAAAGGAGACCTTCTTCTAATTGGGACGCTGCTTTTAAGAGATTTTTTTATGATATATATACGAGACTTAATAGCATGTAACAATTAACAGATGTAAGAAAACATAAATGTAAGATGATACGCAGTTATATCTATCGATCAAGCCCGATGAATTTAATCAATTATCTAAATTACAAACATGTCTTAAGGACATAAAATCCTGGATGAGCTGCAATTTTCTGATGTTCAACTCAGAAAAAAACGAAATTCTTGTACTTGGCCCCAAAAACCTTAGAGACTCACTGTCTAAAGATATAGTTACTCTAGATGGCATTACCTTGGCCTCTAGCACCACTGTCAGGAATCTTGGAATTATCTTTGATCAGGATTTGTCATTTAATTCCCACATGAAGCAGACCTCTAGGACTGCCTTCTTTCATTTACGTAATATTACAAAAATTAGACACATCCTATCACAGACAGATGCAGAAAAACTAATGCATGCATTTGTTACTTCAAGGCTGGATTACTGCAACTCTTTATTATCAGGTTGCCCCAATAAGTCCATTAAGATGCTCCAATTAATTCAAAACGCTGCAGCACGAATACTGACAGGAACTAGGAAAAGAGATCACATCTCTCCTGTACTAGCTTCTCTGCACTGGCTCCCTGTAAAATGTAGAATAGAATTTAAAATCCTCCTCCTCACCTACAAAGCTCTTCATGGTCAGGCCCCTTCATATCTTAAAGAGCTCATAGTACCCTATTACCCCTCTAGAACACTACGTTCTCTGAATGCTGCACTACTTGTGGTTCCTATAGTCTCTGAAAGTAGAACAGGAGCCAGAGCCTTCAGTTACCAAGCTCCTCTCCTATGGAACCAGCTTCCAGGTGTGGTTCGGGAGGCAGACACCCTCTCCACATTTAAGAGTAAGCTTAAGACGTCAGTTTTTCCTTGCCCCCGTCGCCAAGTGCTTGCTCATGGTGGTACTGTTGGGTCTCTGTAAATAATGTTATAAGGAGTTCAGTCTAGACCTGCTCTATTTGAGTGCAGTGTGTCCTGAGATAACTTCTGTTATGAATTGGCGCTATACAAATAAAATTGAATTGAATTAAATGTCTCCATAAACACAATATGAAATAAAAGAAGAGGAGCATTTACTCCCACTTCCTTTGCATTGTGTGCAGGATTCCCTCTGTATGTTGGACTATGACAGTATTTTATTTTATTGATTTATTTGACTGGTTCAAATACTTATTGATCAGCAGAAACAAATAATTATATTTAGGGAAATAGTGAACTGTATCTAAGAACATTTACTCAAGTACTGTACTTGATTCCAAATTCTTAGGTACTTTTAACTTAATTCATATACTCCAATACATTTCACAGGGAAATACTTTTTAATAATTTGACAGCTTTAGTTACTATTTACTTACAAATTATGATTTTTACAGAGAAAACACACAAATAGCTCATAAAATATGACGTTTTCTTATAAGCTGAAACAGTTTGCAATTAATTAATAAAAAAAATGCTGCTTTTCCTTTTAAATATTTTTTATGTTTTTTTAATCATTTAGAATTTTGGACAATTGGTTGAACAAAACAAACATTGAGAAGGTGTCACTGATCTCTGGGTAATTGCTGGCATTTCCCAAAGCATGATGGGTCATAAATCTCAAATTGAGCTGGTCTTATGAGATGAGTGTGGCAAATACAATTAACTGCAAAGACACAGGGGAACATTTATGAAAATCATGAACGACTACATTATACACATAACCACAGATTTGCTTCTGGACTGGGTTTTTCATGATTAAAGGGCAAAAAAAGGATCATGAGTGTATTGGTGAGGAAGGGGTGGGAGGTCTCAACATGCATTTGGTAACAGGCAGTGATATCATACTTGGATGATTTTGTATAGTCTGTTTGAAGAGACTCTGTGACTAAGACCTTTTTCTCAACTGCCTGCAGGTCTTTTCTGTCACAACAAGGCCACTTTGTGATGTGTTCTGACAGCGGTGCTGGTGCACAATCAAAATAGCCATAAGAAATGTTTCAAATGTTCTCATGCTCACCACATTGTATGGAAACTGCCGCCCAACAATATTTTGACTTCTGGACATCCCTGAACTTGGAAACTTGGGAAAGTCACAGCAGGGCTCAAATAGTACAGTACTAGTAGCTGTTTTACATGAACATATGCTTTTAATTTCCTACTGTGTAACAAAACTCAACAGATGAAGGAAACATAAAAACATTCAACTATCACTATAAATCCTGTGAGTTTTCTAACCTGACATTGGCTTATTAGGAGGTCCTGTGTCATCAGTGGTAAACTTTTATTTGATTGGTGTAAAGTCTCAACCTACACATTCTGTAGTTACATTAAAAATCTTGTTTATGGAAAAAGAAAATCTACATTATAACCTACATTATAAAATATTTAAAGGTTGGCATCAACTGTACAGTACAGGCAGTGAAAACATAACAGATGTCTCAGTTTTAATCCACACGTTCAAAGTCATCATTTTATTTTGATAGTGCTGCACATTATTCCTCTGTGAGGATGACGGGACACTGAATACACTGAGATGTAATATAAACAGTTTAATTTCATAAAATGCTTCATATGATAAAATCTAACAATTCATTCAGCTTGTGACAATTCAATAAATACACACAACATATAGTACTGAGCAAATTAATTCTAACATAATATTTCATGTAAAACGTCTAGACACCACCTATCCCTGCTTTGTATATAAAAGAGATATTTACAGAATTTCATCATGCACAGGCACACACACACACTCACACACACACACACACACACACACACACACACACTCTTCAGAGGTCACAAGAAGCAGAGGGGTCCCAAAGCAACAGTGATCTCAGGGACAAGGGGATATAGTGACGTCATTTCTATACCCAGATCTCTGACAGGAAGTAACTCCATATCACCTCGATGTAGCTCCGTGCTGCCCTGAACCATCACAACCACCTCCACCTGCAAGATGATGAGGCAGAAAGACATCAAGAGAACATGTGTACTCTGTTCTTCCTGGATTTAAAACTTAATCCTGTGAATGAAGCTTTACACGGCAGGTTATAGCAGTGGGAATTTATTTATTTCTAAAAACAATGTGTTGTATTTGAAGTACAGTTCAAAAAATGCTGCTCAACTGACAATAATTTTTCGACAACAACATAATCTTTTACCTCACAGCCTCTCTTGGGCACTGTTGTAAGGTGTGAAATAATTTCTTTGCCAGAGTCTCCCAGGAAGTGAATAATCCTATTGGCTGAATTAGTTGTGCCAGCAGTACTGGAGTGGTTTGCTGTACAGCTGACAGTCATGTGCTGGAAAGATCTGTGGCTGTGTAACCGCAGAAACCTCAGCTGGACAACATCTGCACCAGTGTACTCAAACTATCAGAGACAGAAATCATTTAATTTTAAGTCAGAGGAAATATCTTACTGATGTTAGATGTACTAAATATTAACGATACACAAATGTGTTACAGTATTACCTTCTTTCCACCATGTTGCTGACTAAACCACTGGACAGACTTTTTCAATTTCTTCTTTTCTGGTTCCCAACTTAACTTAATCTAAAGAAAAGAATATTGCTAATATTTTTAAAGACCATTGTATTTGTGTATTTACATAAACATGTGAAAAGTACTTTCCCAATAGTTCTTTTTATTAATAGGCTTTCACTGCCTTGGGTGAAACAGCTTTATGTACAGTATGCGGCTTCATACACTTGAAAAAATCAATTAAAAATGCAAACATTGGTCTCTTTAAGAGATTTCAAATCATTGCTGTGGGGTAATCTCAACTGACAGCAATGTTATAGGGTTTTATAAGTATATTATAATGTAAAACCATTAGATCATATCATGTTAATGCAGTTGAAAAAAAGAGATTGAATGTTTGCTTTCCTCACACAGCACTCAGCCTGCTAATGTTAGCCCTTGTACTGTAGGTGAAAATGAACGTACCTGCGACTGTAAAGGGTTGATGCAAGTTGTTCCTCCTGCTGTGAAGTTACAGAATACCTTCACAGCATCATAGGGACAGCCCTGGTTGGGGTCCATGTAAAAGTAACCTGAAAAATAATCGACTTGAGTGCCTGATCACTCAGACTAATTTGGTATCCAGTGTATTGCCCAAAACAGATTAATATAAAGTCATGGTTATGAGCGTATTCAGACCCTCACCATCATTCAGATGAGGGTGTATGAGTCCCAGCTCGTAGCAGGTGGTGGCCGGGTCATCTTTGGTTCCCTGAGGCCAGCTGAAGGATTCCTCAGCTTCATCTTCTTGAGACCATCTCCTGGACACTTGCCTGGGCCGCTACAGAGGAATCCATCATTCAGTCAACCAAACATTCAATCATAATACAGCTCCCCTTATATGAAGCTTAAATGAACACTAAACAAAATGGGAACATTGTGTAAATAAAGTGTATATGAGAAGATAGCTTGTACCAACTTTTTGTTGTCCTTTCCTTCGCTTCAGGAGGCTGAGTTTTTGTCCGGGTCTTGGCACATTTTTCAGTTTAGATATAGCACTGGGTCTTGTTTTGGGCCTTAGAATATTTCTTTGACCTGGTTTGCTGCGGTTGCCTGGAGCACCCGGTTTTCCCTGTAAAACAAATTATTTTGCTTTAAGAGCATGGTACACTCCCTGCGATCAAGGTTCAAATTAATCTTGGTATGTTACAGTTAAGTTTGTTGATCAGGTCAAACATGTTTTTTTTCTTGTTTACTTGTCTTGTCTGTGTGAGCAAAATGTCTTACTGGAGGTCCACGCTTGCCCTTCACCCCCTTCGGTCCTTTCCTGCCTTGGTAACCTTTCATTCCCTATGAAGGAAACCAAGGTGAAGATAGAGCCAACTAAAAGTGATGGAAGACTGAAATAATTTCTTGTTGGCTACTTAAGTTCTCTACCAAAATGCTTTCTTTATAAACACAAGCTAAAAACTATAAATGTGCTTTCAGGATGCTGAATCTGTGACCAGGATCAGGTCCAGGTAGACCTACAAACCTGTAAGTCATAAACAAAAAACAACAAAAATCAAAAAAGCACAGTCTCTCACCTTCTTTCCAAGCTGGCCCTGTAACAAAGACAGAACAGAAATAACTTCAGTAAAATGTTTCAATAAGCTATTTGATATAGAAGAATATCAAAGCAACGTACAGGGAGTCCAAGGAAGCCTTTTCGCCCATGTGGACCACGAGGACCAGAAACCCCCTGTGAAAATCAAGTGGATTGATTAATAACTTGTTACCTGCTTAAACTAATTAAAAAAGAAAAGTAAAACACAACGTGCCTGCTTTCCTTTATGACCTCTATAACCTTTCAGCCCCTGCAAACCAGGATTCCCCTAAGACAAAAGTAGAAATTTGGTAGATCAACAGAAATTATTTTATTTTTTGCATTTAAATTATTTCATATTCCAAATCATTTCAAGCAACCTTCAACCCAGGTAGCCCGATTGGTCCCAATATTCCTGTGACACCTGGGAGACCCTGTAGGTGAACAAATTAAGGATGAGAATTGGTTTAGAAAACAGTTACAGGATTCTCAGGGCTTACTGTAAATCCCTGAAGCTGTGCAGGTGACTACTTTTAAAGGACTAAATAATGTTTATTATAAATCTTCTTTAGTCCATTAAATTGATAGTTTCAACATCAGCAGCTGGAGTGTATACAGTACAGAAACACGATAGGACAGAGTATTGATTAAAGGAATATGAGAGACTGCAGCATAGCAGAAGCATTCCTTACAGAAAGTACATTACATGTTACAGGAAATAAGTAAATAGTTACAATATAAGAGTAAAGGACATTGGTAAATGTGTGTCTTTTACCTTTGGACCAGTAATTCCAGACTCGCCTTTCTCTCCTCTCAGTCCAGGAATACCCTGTATCGAGACAAGCGACGTTGCAGATGTTTACCGGAAAAGATATTATGTTTAGGGATCTTATTATTAATGCTGCTGAACAAACTTGTATACCTTGGGACCCAAAGGTCCAGGGGGCTCTTGTTTTCCTTCTGGTCCAGCTTTACCCTGAGAGACACAATAGGACATGTTAAATACCAGTTTACCTGGCACAGTGTGTTACATAGATGAAAAGAGATAATTTTATAATAATAACAATAATAATAATACATTTTATTTATAAGCACTTTTCTGGATACTCAAAGACACTTTACATAAAGATAACATAAAAACAGGAAAACAACATAAAATAGTAAAACACTAAAAAACAAATCGGACTAAGCTAAACATTAAAAGCAATTTTAAAAAGGAGAGTTTTTGTCATTGATTTGAACGCTGGAAGGTCGGTGCAGTCACGGATTTGTTTGGGGAGAGAGTTCCAGAGGGAGGGGGCAACTACAGAGAAGGCTCTGTCGCCCCAGGTTCGGTGCTTGGTCCTGGGTGATGGAGTCAGGAAGTTTGCTTCAGATGCGCGGAGGCTACGGGATGGATTGTAGCGATGGAGCAGGTCAGTGAGGTAGGAAGGGGCCTGGTTATGGAGGGCTTTGTGTGTGAGGAGGAGGATTTTGAATTGAATTTGTTGTGGGACCGGGATCCAGTTCTGTACATACAGTCATGAATATTATTCATTTACAGGTAAATAAATGACAGAATATTGTACCTTGAAGCCTGGTGCTCCAGTGTTTCCTCTGATTCCAGGGGGTCCAGGTTTTCCCTAGAGCATTACATGTATAATATTTATGAATTGATTTATTGATTATATTTATGAATAAAGGAAAATTCCCCTGATTTTATGGTGTAATAGGGTTGCATATTATCCATGTTCGTTTTGAAGCTTACCACTTGACCAGGCCTCCCAGGTGCTCCAGGGGCACCTATGAAACCAATATCACCCTTTGGGATGAGAAGAAGAGGGACTGAATTCAGTAAAAAAAAAAAAAAAAGCTTGAACAACAGACTAAATTGCAGTATGGTCAATTTTTCCTACCGGATCTCCTTCGTTTCCCTCTACCCCTAGCAACCCATCCAAACCACTTAGACCCTGAGAACAAGATCACAAGGCCAGAAACCAATCGTCAACTTAAATTTTTGGTTTGCATATTATTTTAATATTATCTATTTTATTTATCTATTTTATCTGTCAAAAGGGATACTTGCAGATTTTCCAGGCCGTCCAGGAGGTCCTGGTCGACCCAGTGGTCCTTCATCTCCCTACAAAGGAGACTTCATTAGATGAGCCCAACGCCCAGAGTAAGACTGTGAGTAAGGTAAATCTGGATTGGGTGATTTAATCCTACCTTTAATTCTAATTAAACATCATCAGAAATCACAGAGAGTGATCCAGATTGTTTCAATTAAGTGAACTCACAGGTTTTCCGAGAGCTCCTTTGTTTCCTTTCCTTCCAGGCTGGGCTCCTTTTCCCTTTATAAAGACATTATCTCCATTATGAGAAGTGACAACTTTGTTTTCTTCTTTTCCATTTTAGATTTTAATCTGAGCTGAGCAATGGTGTCCTCTTACCTTTGACCCCTGAATTCCTTTAGTTCCTGGAAGACCGGGTTGACCAGCAGGTCCAGGTCGACCTTTAGACCCTGGAGTGCCAATGAAGCCCACCTTCCCCACTGTCCCCTAAAAATACATTCACACACACACGATACTATAATATGACCTATATTTACTGAAGAAATAGATTTTTGGAACTGATAAAATACCAGAATATTCAGCAACACTAAATTACAAACGCTGAAAATTGCAAACCCACTCTTTGAGTCCAAATATGCTATTTTACCATTGTGCCTCTTGTCCCAGGCTCTCCTTTTGCACCCTTTTGACCTCTCATGCCCTGGGGATTACAAAAGGTTGCACACAGACACTGCGTCACTGTGGTTACATCTTTATACACACCATTAAATATGCTTGACCAGAATAATGATGCCCACAGGGTGCAACACATAATAAAATCGCACCATGTCTCCTTTTATTCCGCGAAGACCAAACTTTCCCTCCTCACCGTGACTGCCCTGAGTTACACAAACACACAACAGAGACAGCATTACATTTATTAAGTGAACCACTACAGCTGTAAGGATCACATTTGCAGCACCGAAGCATTTCACTGCATCTGAATGAATAAACAGTATATTACACCTTTGGTCCAGGGATTCCAGTTTTCCCCTCAACACCCTTCTTGCCTGGCAAACCCTGAAAAATCATAAGAAAATATTTTAGCATTAGTTAAACCATAAAACAAGATCAGGCCTTACAGGCCATACCAACACATTATGCAATAACACCACATTTTGTAATAATAGCTGCATTTTGTAACAAACAGCCTGAACACAATATGTAATCAATGTTCCTACATTTTGTAATAATTTACATATTGTGGTGGTTATTAGCCAGCTCTACCAGGTGAGCTACCTGGACAGCCCACACTGTATACAAACCTAATGTGCAGCTTCCTGTATTTGACATTGGAATGTAGTACAAGCTGAGAAAGTGCTTTTGCTGCCATCTGGTGGTTGAACATGGTGTGTGCTGCACTAGTAAAACGTTACATTACAGATCAGGGTGGCCTGGATGTAAGTAGATTGAAACTTAAAATAAAAGTCAACACAATCTCTGTATAATGTTTTAAATATTGTGTTAATGCCACAATAATAACACATGGGGACCTCTGGTAGCTCTATGAGTTCAAGTCTGACCTGTAGCCCTTTACTGCGTGTCGAACCCTCTTGCTCCTCTTTTGCTGTCTATCTTGAGCTGTCCTATCTCATAATGGAAAAAAAGCACCCAAAAATATATTTTTAAAAAGTCTAATAACACATACTGGCGTTGATGGTCCAATTTGTCCAGGGGGACCTATACTGCCAGGAGGGCCCTGAAAAGAGAAAGCATAAAACCTTATACAAGCAAACTGTTTATTTCCAACTGTGTCATATTACAATTTAAATAAAATAGCATATACAGCATCTCTTAAAAGAAAGTCTCTGAATCACAACCAAATATAGAATATAAATATACTTTGTATATACTAGTAACCACACAACACTTGCTCCAAGCATATGATACATTTATATAACATGAAGCTCATCATAACTTTTAATCATAGCATTTTGGACATCAGTGACAACGAAAGAATCCGACTGTAATACTAACAGTGTGTCCCCGGAGCCCCTTTTGGCCTTTGTCCCCTACTGCCCCAGTGTTGCCCCCTTGTCCGAACTGTCCAGGCCTGCCTGATGAACCTTTGGTACCTGGCTCACCCTGAAAAATGTTATTATCAGTATCATACATTTCAGAGTGTAAACCAAACTTTCAGCATTCACTTTGCAGATCATTCCTCAACTCATGTCCAATATTGCTTCTGACTGACCACAATGACTGACCTTGAGGCCTAGAACTCCTACTTTCCCTCTGTCCCCTGGTGCACCCCTGTATCCCTGCAAAATAGGGTTGATGGTGAGGACAGGGCAGAGGAGACACATTGTCCTGTTTTAATTCACGTTTCAAAGGATGCAGATGGCATTGTTTTGTGTCACACTGTACAGAAGTGAGATGGGCTGCAATGTTATAGTAAACTATACTTTAGACACAACTCCTGTCCACCTGTTTCCCTGGAGGGCCCTTTGATCCCTGTGGCCCTTGGTTGCCTCTGCTGCCCTCAGCTCCCTTTGACCCTTTATTTCCAGGAGGCCCAGTGTTCCCCTTGTCACCCTGAAAGGTAAGTAAAACAAACCTTTTTCATAGTTTGATTGATAATTTTATACTCCATCTACATGCTAGGCCATTAAATCATGTATAATAGAACATGAAACATTTATCCACAGTTTGGAAAATAAAATGACACATTTATACATTAACTCACAGATTTGCCTTTTTGTCCAGCTGGCCCCTCAGATCCCCTTAGTCCAACTAGACCCTGGAGACAAAAGCAATGGGTTACCCATAAATGAACATTTAACATAGGACTGTCTTTTCATACAGTTGAACCTATAGACTGCATAGGCCTCTAAATCTGTGTTAAAATCAGACCTTTGCATTCAGTTAAATGAAAAAGGATAGAAATCAAATCTGTGACAAACACAGTCTAATCAATCTACCTCCTCACCATCGAGACCAGCGACTCCCTCCTGCCCCAAAGCTCCTTTGGATCCCTGAACAGACAACATGTAGATACAAACAGAAACATCTGCGTGAAGAATCATTGAACTGATTGTTTCTGAAATGGTTGCATAGACCACTCCATCAATACTTTTGTGTACAGCACTTTCTGGCACATTTAAACGGACATAAAAGTGCAGATACCTGAAGCATGTTCACAGTAATTCAGTAAAAGATAAGCTTTACCTTATTTCCTTTGACACCAGCTGATCCAGTTGGTCCTTGAGGTCCATCTTTACCCTAAATGTGGAGGGAATAAAGCAACAATTGCTCAAAAAAGACTGATTCACTTCATATTCCTGCTTCATCCTTATCTTCACTTCATCTTGGTGAGCTCGGTGCTTGGAACAGTAAGTTTTGTGTACCTTTTACAAATGCTTACTAATGTAATGGGTGTGTTTTTACTTTCATTTCAATATTTAATGTTTATTTCATTTATGAAAAATACTGTATAATTAACTGTTCTATCATTTGATGTGCAGGGAATTACTTGTGTAAATATATCCAAAATATTTTCAAATCTTCTTTCTTAAGGTTTTTTGCAACAGAATTTGAAATATCTAATGTATCCCCTAAGATAGGTACTGAAATACAATAAAAAAGACAACTATTAATTTGCCTATAAAACCAATGTCATCAAAAATCCCTCAAAAATCCTAATGGTGTCTGGGTGGTTCTGATAAGGCTCCTGGCAAACTCGACAAAGCACTAACTTTGCAATTAGGATGACACTGAGTACTGTATGACACCGTGAATCGTCACCCTGACACCAGACCTGAGCTGATCTGATGACTAACCCAAAAAAGAAAACAACAAACTCTTGCCAAACTGGAGAGAAAGAAATGTTCTGTTCATTTATCAGATCACACTTCAGTCAGCAGTTGTCATACGAAATAATAACCCTTTGATGTAATTTGGCTAAAAAATGTCTGACCTTTTTCATGGCTAACATTTTGATTTCTCAAACAAAAGTGTGACTAAGAATATCAAACCAGGACCAGTGCTACAGCAAGCTGACTCACTGGCAAAATTTACTGACATTAACAGATTAATTAACCCAGCAGCACACACACAAGAATGCATGCTGAAAATCAGTGCCTAATCAATGACAGTTATATATATAGTTTGCTTTTATTTTTCATCAGCAGTTTAGCCTGGAAAATTATACTTGACACTAAAAGCATAAAAACAAACTTACTGGGTAACCTGTAACTCCAAGGGGGCCAACTGGACCTTTTGGCCCCTGATCACCTGGAGGGCCACGTGGCCCAATCTCACCCCATGGTCCAATGTTACCCTGGATACCCTGAAGGAAAAAAATATGTATTCAGAAAAACATGATAAAAACCTTTTGTGTATCAAGACAAATTTCAGGTCAAGTCAGGTTTATTTGCTTATTATTTACAATGTCTCATTTAGCTTTACAGACTCACAGTAGCTATAGTTTCCAACCAAATCAAAGCTTTCTGGGAGGACAAAGAAAAACTATACAAAAACCTTAACACATAAGAAAAATAGTCTTCTAAATTAAGGTTGTTAATTTACAGAGAGCTGAGTGTCATCTGCATAAAAATGTACTGGAATGTAGCAGTTATTACAAAAAGGCTATTAGGAGCATTGTGAAGTAATCAGTCAATGATCAACTCATTACATAAACTAAATGCTATGCTATAAAGGACACCATCACAGATTGAAAATTTATACATTTATGTAACATCTCCCAAATTTGTTTGTATTTTATGATGAAATAAACAAAATAACAAAGTGACAGGAAGGGAAGCACATCTATGTTTACCGTTCAAGGTCCAGTGTGTAGGATTTAGTGACATCAAGTAATGAGGTTGCAAATTGCAACTAACTGAACACCACTCACATCTTATTTTTAGGTAATGAAAACACAGTGATTCTTTTTTTCAGGTGATTATACACTAATGAAAACATACCAATGAATATTATATTCAATTTCTGACAATAGGTCCTCCTAAATGTTACATACTGGACCTTTAAGATTATTCAAACTGTATATAATCTAAAGTTTACCTGTAAGACGGGTGAATAGGAGAAACACACTCTGTCTGCATAAAATGTATTTTAACTGTTGGACAATATTTCAATAATAAACAGACACTGACTCAATGAATGAGGATGTTAAGCACTGGATTAATGGATGCGTTTGGAATGAATGAAATCATCTTACAGGAGATCCTCTGTATCCCTGTGGTCCAGCCATGCCCATCTCACCCTGAAGGACAGTAAGGCATGATGTGACAGACCTCAGAAAAACTTAAAACTTAACATAAAATTAATATAATGATACAAAGTAACAGTGGTACTATATAAACTGCAGCAGTGAAACTAATAACAGAATATACTTCACTTACCGGGCGGCCTTGTTTCCCCCTTGATCCCTCCTCACCTCTCTTACCCTTCACAACAAATATAACAAGGTAGGTGAACACAACACCACATTAAACACAATGTATAATATGAATGAATAACCACGAGCAACACATTTGTCATGACAGACTGATGCAGCTTATAATATTGACTGAAGTATATTCTGATTAAAATGCAAGTACTGACAAAATTGAATTAACAGATACCTTTAGGCCTTCGCTTCCTGGAAGCCCTCCTGGGCCTTTTTTACCTTTAACCCCCTAAAGGAAACCAACAGTCCTTTAATGTCAACATAATCATTGTTACATTCAAAATATAAAAACTCTGTCTTTGCAATCCATTCTCATCTAGTATCTCATCTCTTCTCAGCAATCTCAACAGATTCTGTTATATTATCAGAGCTTTATTGTTGTAGCATCACAAAAGAGTTTTGTAAATTCCTAAAAGGCCAGATGGTGATGTTGTAACTCACCAACACTCCTGGTTTTCCTGGTGTCCCTTTCATTCCTCTGCTGCCAGCTTCTCCCTGTTGATTGACACAAGTGTACAGAATATAAATTAACATATTCCATCAGCAACACACACTGGTATAATTTGCAATGCTAATGCTGAGTAACCTACAGTAATGTGATACGGCTACATGTGAATGCATTAATAATTGTAAGCTTCTTTCCATACTGCAACTCCTCCTATTAACTTTTTTACAGAATCTGTAATCTGAGTTTTAAAAAATCTGAAACAACTCACACTCTTCCCTACGGGTCCCTGGAGGCCAGAAGCTCCTGTCTTCCCAGGCAATCCCTGTGGAAAATATTTAGTAGAGTATCAGTTATCCATTTGTGACCCTGTAAGACAAGCAAATGTAGTTGTTCAGTGTTTATTAGAAAGGGGTGAACTCACTTTTGGTCCTGGAGGTCCAGTGTCTCCAGGAATTCCATTTGTACCAATATGTCCCTGATAGAAAGATGATATTAGTTTATCACATATTTTTCCCTATCCTGGTTACCCCCTTACCATCATTAGCTTAAAAAAGAGAGCACCAAATATAAAGCTATAGGATATATATATTGTAGCTGGCAGATTGAGCTCCCTAATTTTAGTATATTCATTAATGGTTTTATACAGTTTGTGTATATCCATGAGTACCAATTTTAAATTGTGGATTGTTTCTTACCAGGGCTCCACGAGGTCCATCCAGTCCCCTGTTACCTGAATGACCTTGAAACCCCTAAGATGGGACACAGATAATGTGAAACCTTTTTTCAGTGGGTGTTGTTCTTGTGGATGAAGTGTATGAGATATCTGATTGATTAAATTACAAAATTCTCTTCAGCTATATTGGAGAGAAAAGTTACATGACATTTATTGAACAATACTGAAATTACAAACAAAGTATCATCCTCCAATTATTTCAATCATCAATTTGATCACCTTCAGGCCTTTAGGTCCTGTCACTCCTTGGACTCCAGGCCTCCCCTACACAAAAGATGTACACATATAAAACACATGGCCTTATTAACATCTATATTAGCAGCAATTTGACAGATACAATCCGAAATAACACTTTGGACAGAATAAAATGATATAGGATTATAAATAATGAAAAAGAAAATTATTCTAAATAGACAGTTTAAAATATATGTTAAAGTTATGATAAAATCCATTAAATCATAAGTATTAGTAAAAACTAGTAGTGATTTTATAATTGGAGTGAACACTGTAGCCACATAAGGACAGAGTAAGAAGTGTAGCGACATAGGAACCTTAATACCAGGTTCTCCTTCATGTCCTTTCTCTCCAGATTTTCCCGTCTCTCCCTGCAAGCAGAAAACGAAACCACATCAGTAGTATAGATTTAGGCCAGCATCTGTAATAAACTTAATCTCTACTCACTCATACTCACAATTGGACCTGGCAGTCCAGAAAATCCTGCTCGACCTTCTCGACCCTTTGACAGGAAAGTGACCATAACTGATTAGAATATAATATCCACTGGAAATGTTCCCAAATTGAAATAATAAAAGTGACATATAGTATCAGACACCTGTGGTGACTTGAGTGTATTATCAGCATTTTATATATTGATGTATGTTCGTATCAGTATATTTTATTTTTGGTGGCAAGTTGCAGCTACTTTACCAATAATTTCCTCTCTCTCATTACCATCAATGACCAATGAAGCTAGTGCGATTCAACACAAATATTAAAAGAAGGGAAAATATTAGCCCTTCATCTATTTTCCATGATGTTCATTTTGTGGTCTATGGTCCCATTTAGAGTAAAATAGACAATAAACCAGGGTATGCTTTAGGGTGTGGCTACCTTGTGATTGACAGGTCGCTACCACAGCAACCTGCCAGGATAGAGGCGTAACAATGTGTATCCATGGCACTGTATACATTTAAATACTTGTGAACTTGTTTCTGTGTGTTATTCGTGTTTTCGTCTTAGAACTTTGAACCTTTCAGTGTGTTTTCAGTTCATGAAAGTTAACCGTAACATTTTGGTTGCCTAAAAATGTTTCATTCATTCAGACATTTTAAGACAGTATACATTTTGTTTTAAAAATGTTTTTTTGCTAGGCAAAATTAGCATCCCAGTTATTATCACTGTTAATATAATTTACAGATGCACCTTGCTAAACAAGTTGATAATTCCCAACTCTTGTCCAAAAAACCCAAGATGGCCAAAATGCCAAACTCAGGACTTCATAACAGTAGTCCACAAGCCAGTGGGTGACGTCACAGTGGCTAAAGTGACTTATTTTATACAGTTTATGCTTATTCCACATGAACTGAATTCTTCAGCATCCTTCTTTGTCCTACCTTGTCTCCCCGAGGCCCAGGAACTCCGTGAATACCATTTGGCCCTCGATCTCCCTATGAAAAACACACACGTACTTACACACATTTCACAAACACTTATTTTTCAATAGAAAAAACATAAAAGTCATGATTCTTTTAACTTTATGAAAACACACCTTCAGTCCATCTTTTCCCTGCTTCCCTTGCTCCCCCAGGATGCCATCAAATCCCTAAAACAATGAAGGCAGGTATAAAACAAGACAGTTACAATTACAGTTGTTATAGCATTGTTAGTGAACGTCTTCATTCATCAGGTTTATTTCACTCACACTGGATCCAGGAGGTCCTGGTGGCCCTGTTGGCCCTCCAAGTCCCTCAAATCCTGAAGGGCCTCGACGCCCCTTCAATCCTTGTTTACCTGGAGGCCCTGGAGGTCCCTGTACACATAACCAACAAGTCATTCAACTGATTAACTGATCTGATCAATAAACCGATCAACAATAAACTGAACAGATAGACAGGAAGGATCAAACTCACAAGGTCTCCCTTAAATCCTGGATCACCCCTATCACCCCTTTTGGCTTTAGCCCCCTGGAAGAGAAAAGTGTGTGCACGCGCGCACACACACACACACGCACGCATGCACGCACACACACACACACACACACACACACACACACACACACACACACACACACACAAATACAAGCAAGAAGAAAACACATTTAGTTGAGTACGAAGGAACCAAAATGACTGTTACAGTATGATGGCTTTATTTATGATAATTAGTAATTTTAAATATTGCCATACATTACAAAGGTTGTAAACATTTTGCCTGCAGTCAATAATGAAATTGCTTTAAGTAATCTTACGGGATCACCTGAGGGTCCAGGCTTGCCTGGATTCCCATTGGCTCCCTGAAAGGAGAAAAAAACCCATATACTCAAGCTCCAACATGACAAACTCATACAGCACATCTGAGTTCATATCTTCCCTGGTAATTAATGTTGCTTGTGCAGAGGGTTCATCCTTGTTATCTTACATTGAGTCCAGGTGGTCCAGGTTCCCCTATTTCCCCTTCATCTCCTGGATCACCCTGGTGAAACACAGAGACGGTTGCTGACAAGAGTCACCCTAAAATATGAGCTTCAATCCGCTTCTGCATTTACAACTTTAGCTTCTGGCTGTTTTTCCTTAAAGGACCAGTGTGTAGGATTAAGTGGCATCTAGTGGTGTAGTTGCACATTGAAACTAACTGAACACCAGCCGTGTTTGTATTTGACGACCTGGGAATGCAAACGAGCTGTAAAGCATGTAGGAGAAACTATGGTGGCCACAAAAAATGTGAATGGCCCTATCTGCAGCTTGTCCGTCACTACTACTATTTCTACTACTGTAGAAACATGGTGACCTGCAGCATCTGTAGATAAAAACGTCTCATTCTAAGGTAACAAAAGCACAACCATTCTTATATTCAGGTGATTATATACGACCTTTAAAGTGTACTCACAGGGTCCCCTTTAGGACCAGGAGGTCCATCTGGTCCTGGGTTTCCCTATAAGGAAAAACATTTTATTCATATTTCTTTGTCTTCATGTAATAAAACTGATAAGCATGAGTTTTGTTATACCTGAGGTCCACGGACACCAGGTAACCCAACCACTCCATCAGGACCAGGCTCTGCCTGAAGCAATACGTGTATATACAGAGGTATATATTAAGGTATTAGCTCATAACGTCATTAGCTAATCAATATTTGGTTTTTAAGTGTCTTGTCACCTGTGGTCCAGCTGCTCCTCTGGCACCCATTTCACCTTGATGACCCTGATAGTGTAAAATATTGTTTCACAAATATATATTTTAATTAGAGAATTTGGATTTCAACTTGACTGACTAGCTGTTTACTTACCGGAGGTCCTTTAACTCCTAAGACACCTTTTATTCCTCTGGGACCCATTTTGCCCTGAGCAGAAGTCAGATTAATAAATACACATTTTCTATCAATTTTATGACGACTTTGTAGTTAGTGTTAGAAAACTTACAGGAGGGCCTGGTGGTCCACTAAAGCCTAGAGCTCCAATCTCTCCCTGAAAACAATCAGCAAGACTATTACTGTCATTAAAAACAATGAGGGCTGCACCTGATGAACAAGATGGAGTCAACTTATATAATCATTGTTGTTCTGACACTGACCGGGGGTCCTGATGGTCCTGGAAAACCAGAAGGACCCCTGGGTCCAGGAAGTCCCTGTAAACATAGGATAGTTCAAATGTTGCAATGCAGAAATTCGTTTTATATAAATGTGGTGACTAATAAGTTATGAACTCACTGATCATATTAACAACCACCAATAAACAATCAGTTATGGTTTTCAAGCAGAGTAAAAAGTTCTTGTGTATTTGAAACTGCATTTTATAATGACTATATAATAACAAGGGCACAAAGGGGGTGTTAAGTTAATAATAAAGTAATCTGTACTTACTATGTAGCCTGGGACACCAACAACACCTCTCACTCCTTTGTTCCCCTGGTTACAGCAAAAAACTGGAAAATTAGAATCCCATGTACCAGCTTTACTCCTGAAAAAGATGTCTGTGTGTGGATGCTGAGTCTGACCTTGTCTCCTTTTTGTCCTCTGTTTCCCTGTGGTCCAACCTCTCCTTGATAACCCTGAAGACAGAGAAAACATGGTTTGACAAATAAAATGCTCCAGTCTGACAAAACAGTGACAACTTTTGGGGATTTTTGCAGAGACTCAACGCTAGATACAAGACACACATATATATACGGGGCCTCTATAAGTTAAATCCCCATAGCATTAAAAATCCAGGCCACTCTTACCCACTCACCCAGCTCCCCTTTGTTGCCCTTCTCTCCTCTGTATCCTTTGGGACCCTAGTGGGACAAGCACAAGTTCAAATTCAAACTGTATCAGTATTGGACTTACATGTATGGGTGGAGATTACATGTACCAACATATTAAAGACAATAAAGAATACACATATTTTGTCTCTCAGCAGATTTACCTGTTCTCCAGGTAAGCCTGGAGGGCCTGTATTAGCATGCTGTCCTAGGGTCCCTTCTCTTCCAGGTCGGCCCTGTGGACCCGGCAAACCCTGTGGTCCAGGACTGCCCTGAAGTACAACACAACATGTGATTCAGTTTTTCAATTCTCATGAGAACTTTCATTGCAGAAGAGCAGACAATATTTTGACATATGTATTATTTACTTTATTTAGTAGTTTATAATATTGTTAGTGTGCTTGCTGTTGAAAAACATAATGAGTAGTAGTGTGTGTGTTGGATCATTGGACTTGATGACTTTGCATCATGACATTCTTTTCCTCCACTTCATCTGTTATTAGATGAGTTATTTTTTTATTTTGGGATACGTTGTTGTGCATACTCACTTACACAGTAAACCCTCAAATTCAGTAAGTACACCCTAGCTACCACCCAGAAACCCCACAATTACCACCTAATATATCCAGCAACCATCCCGAGCAACCACTTAATTATACGCCTTATTTTCGATTACTCCATGTTGTTCTTCATATATCAGTCAACTCAATGTGTTATCAGTCAAAGTAATATTGTAGTGATGAGTTCAATATGGTGTTTGTGTCACAAGGAGAGTGTAGACTATAATAGTGTACTGTGCAGACAGGCTGAGCATTGTATCTCTGATTGACTGACACATAAAGAAGATTAAATAAAATAATGATAATAATTAAAGTGCTGTGAGATGAGCCCATAAGCTATCAAGCACAGCCTTCCACCGATAAGATGCAAATAAAGTAGAGATACCTACGATTTTCCCTTGAACTCCTTTTTGTCCTTGCTTCCCAGTAATTCCAGGTGGCCCCTGAAATACAACATTTTTAAAATGCAATGTGATAAAAATATGATTGGTATTGTTATAGTATGACACATTTTAACCCTAGATAGCTCTTTAAAGCAGTTACAGTGAACTTTCACTGTGTGTGCTGATTCTGGCGCCCCCTGTGGACAAGAGTGGTAGTGTTTCTACCACCGTTTCCACTGATTTTGTGGGGAATCTCACTGAATCCAACCTGGTGGCAGGCATTAAGAATAACTACATAGAAATACCGTCTTGCGGATGGTCTTGTCTGTTAATGTAGGTTATAAAGAGGCATCAGTAATAAAATGAGACTGTTTCATAACCAGTTAAGAACTCCTTGTAGTAAATGTTGTCTTTTCAAGTAATCCTCAACACTTGTCTACTTACAATTGGCCCATCATCTCCAGGAGGTCCAGGAGGCCCCGGAGGTCCCTTCAGTTTCTGAAGATAAAAAAACACAATGTCTCACTCGCAACATGTCCTTAGGGTATACATGGGTATTTTTAACACTAGTCACACTGTAAATAAAGTAATTATGCAGTACGTTGTTGGAGTTGGTTTTTGGAATAACTGGATTTCAACAACTAACTACTAACTACAAAAGGATTTTAAGTGCATTCATTTTTTTTTTTTACACCTACCGGCCAGGAAGAAATCAGCTTTTTATAGATGTCCTCTTTCTGTAAGGAAATGACAGAGAAAATATTTATCTTATATTGTAAACCTATTTCACTCACAAATGATCTTCACACTGACTTGCATAGAATGCGACAAACTTTAAGAACAATAATCCTGTCATCAAAAATGCAATTATCAGCAAAAAAAGACAATTCAGTTTCTAATTGTAGCAAATTTATCTGGTTTGTGGTATAGGCTATTCACACCTTTACAGTGAAATATAAAGAGGTGATAATAGTTGATTATGTTAGTTATTGTGTGTAACTGATATTTATATGCTGTTTCTTTATGCTGTATACGCAGTACTTTCACTAGATCCAGCAGCTTACCTTGAAAGCCTCCCACTCTTCTTCAGAGGTTTTAAATACAACAATGGCAGGCATCCCAGGAGGACCAATGGGGCCTCTATATCCTGTCCGCCCAGTCCTGCCCATAACGCCTTGATAGCCCTGAGAGGACAGAAAGCAATATGTCTCTTTGATGTGGAAGGAGTTCAGATAACAACAACATCGACAGAAACACAAATCTGGCTCTTTCATTCCAGACTGCATTAAGCCATTTTTGACCACTAGGGTGCAGAAGAACTCTGCTGATCAAAGCAGCCTTGACATGTAAACAGCCTACCAAGCTTTTGGGGCTGTTGTTGTGTCATTTAGCTTCACTATAGCTGGAGACTATATTAACCCTTAAGAGTTCCTTGGTACATTTTCGTACCATTCCGTTTTTTATTTTCATGCTATTTTGGTTTTCAATGAATGAAGCTCAAACTTGCCAAAGGTTATTCATTTTGCATTTTGTTTAGAATTCTGGTCTTAGTTATTAAATTAGCCTAAAATGGCTAGGCTACGTACAAACTCACACATTTGTTCCTAAGGTAGAAAAATGCCGCATTGAAAACCATTCAAAACGCCATTTTTGATCTCCCGTTTATCTTAACGTAAACTAATGCATTCCTTTATGTTAAAATTTCATTTTGGTCTACAAGCTTTCAGTTTTTAATTTTTATATTAGTCCACCACATGGCATTACTTTTTCCCATTCAAGGCATGCAGCAAAATTTCACACGTTTTCTGCAAGGGTGCCTTGCTACTGAAATAAGTGTGTATTGCTATTGATGATGATGTGACTTTGTTTTGGTTCTCGTTCAGGCTCTTGTTCAGGCTATTGATCCAGATGCACTGCAGCCATGGTTATAAGTATGAGCAGTAGTGAGGGAGTAGTCATTTTAGAGATGGCAAGGCATTACAGCACACTGGTGCTTGAAATAATCATGGGGGGCTGGATGGCTCCTCATCCTCCTCCGAGGACTCTGATTCCTCCACAGAGGAGGCCTCAGAGGTAGAGACAGACGATCTGGTGTCTAGCCCTGACTCATCTGAAGACTCATCTGAAGATGAAATTGATGAAGCAGCAGCAAAATGGACTTCAAAAAATGAAAAAAAAAATTGGTCTCAAACAAACTCTGAGACTTTCCACAACAGTGGAGTTGTGTAAACATATTGGCCTTTAAAGGATTAAAATCCCCCAAATATGATACATATTTGATATGTATATTTCAAGCAGAAGTAGTTCTAAAAGACTGACTCATTTAAAGTAGGAATAAATATTGATTTATAAGATTTTTACAGCAGTTTTTGGGAAGGTGGCATTTTTCTGCCTTAGGAAAAAATGTGTACATTTTTTAAAGGAACTCTTAAGGTTTAAATTTGAAAACAAATCTTAAATCTGACTGCGGTGTCTTTGTCAAGCTGAAGTCACTTCACATTCCACAGTTTTATGAGGGCTCATATATATTTCATTTATTAGTCACTGGATATCATATTTCTTTTTAGTTTGAAACATTTATGGTGAGAGAGAATATACAGTTATGTATGGTATTTTATATTTGTGGAAATAAAGGTTACCATCTTGATATGTATTGAATGAATAGGCTATTAATGTAAAAAATGATGTACTTCTTGCAATGCAAGTTTAGTGCATTTTAGTTTAGTGTTATCCATCTCTTTTAGCCAACTATTTCAGGCATTTATCACTTTTAACTATTATCATTTTAGCCCTTTCAACCATTTATCACTTTTAGCTAACTGTTTCAACTTCTTTTTACACACATAAAACATGTCTGTTTACTCTGTATGAAGCTATATGTTTCATCTCCATCAGGCATAAGTCTGGAAACGTCAAGATGGAGTATTGAATTAATTATTGGTGACTTTGGTCAGGTGTATCTGTCCACAGCTATTCTCGCATACCACTGGACCCATCAGCCTCATGTTTTGGACCTCTCGTGGCTGCAGTGGTTCACAATTTTTGAAAAACGTATTATATTAACTGCTCTGATTTATACCATCATTGACTGCTGACTCCTCACTTCTCTTAACTGGCCAGTAGGGGACGCAGCAGCGTTGTGTCATTTGCGAACGATTAGTTCAAAAGATTGAATCTTTTGGGTGAACAAACTGAACTGAATCACTTCCTGAAACAATCTGTTCATTTCTTAGTCATTTCTTTTTTCGTAGAGCTCTCAGCCAGTTGCTTGTGAACATCCAGAGATTCACTCACTGAGAGTGATAGACAGTCACGGATTTGCTCGAGCCCGTCCCTCTCACTCAGTCTTATAATTAGGTGTTGTGAAAATATATATGCTGTAGCCTACATAATAGGGTAGAACTTGTTATAGCAGCTTTGCAAACGGTATCTTTATTCAACTAAATTCTCATCTTACTGGCTTATCCTTCTCGAACAACTGTTCTCAGTTGACCAGTTAGCGAGCTGAACTGAATGTTCATTTTGAACTGGTCAGATCAGTGTGGGATCATCTGCTTTGCCCATCAGTAGACTGCAAGTGATCCACAACTGCTTCAGTTTGAAATCTTGTTTCTGCAAGGGACAACATATGTGCCAGTCAAGTTTTAGTGTTGGTGGATTATTTTGTCCGGCATTTTCCCTTTGAAATTGACATTTTACATCACTTGTGTTTTCATTCTCATTCATATACGCTGGACACACAGCTGGCCCTGCACTCCTTGTTCCCCACCCACATGATCCAGACACACCTGGCAGATATCTGAAGTTTACTGAGACTGAGACTGATATTTTTTTATCATATATCCCAAAGCAACAGCAGAAATACCCCCTGGGGTAAAAGTACATCCTGCTATGAGTCATTTGATTCAATGTTGACACAAAAAAGATTTCCTGATTTAAATTAATACATACTTTGTCTCCTTTAGGCCCTGGTGGTCCTGGTAGCCCGGGTGGACCCTGCAACCCCTGATGAAAGAGTGATAGATCTGGATCAGTGTCATAAAACCAAGATTTATTGATAGAAGCAGGATGGGACAAAAAAAAAGTAAACTGACAGAAAACTAGAGTAGAAATGCAGATATCCTAGGTTATTATGTCTGAAATCTGATTAATCTGTTCGTCTGTGATACTGTGTAAGGGTTAGGAGAGTTTGTAAACTATAAAACTGTATATAAACACTATATTCTGTCACAGAATATTCAGTCTGAGAAACCAGAAGCTGGATTTCACAGTTCAGGATTACAGTACCACAGTTTAGCCAGAGGAGGGACACAATGGCCCACACACACACACACACACACACACACACACACACACACACACACACACACACACACACACACACACACACACACACACACACACACACACTTGCATGGCTTTCTAGGTGGTAGAATTGACACAGATGTATGTTGCCATCTCAGTCATCAAATCTGCTCCACGCAAACTCAATTTCAGTCAAGGTCGTGATGGAAAATGAGATGAGAATATCACACAAATGTGATTAAAATATCCTATGTGGTTTGTATCTGCATTTGTAACAAAATTAACACTCTGTACTCAATGTCACTGTGAATAAAGTATACCAAGACCTGTAACAACAGAAATAACTTCAAATGTGAAATCCAGCATTGATGATGAACATGTAAAATGTAAACAATGTCTTACACTTTGACTTCTGATCCCAGGTCTTAATCCTGCCCTGTGACGTGTGACCGTGTATGTAGGCGGCTCATTGGCTGCTGTAACAGTCTGCTGTGTGGATTCAGTCTCTGATTGGATAAAGGAGTCTTCAGTGCTGAACTGGGAGGTCCAATCAGGTGACGACTGATTAGAATCCCCAAATATGTCAGTGTTATTATCATAAGTTTCTTTTTCCATCTCTGCTTGTCTTTGAACTTCCTCATCCACCCCTAAATCTGCCTCTGTCCCATTCCCCTGCTCTCCACCAGGAAATCGTTGTTGTGGTGGTGTTTCTGTTTTGGGGGAAACGGTTTCCAACCTGTCTTCTATTTCCTCATTTTCTTTTATCTCACTTGCTGAAACATTACTCACCTCAGCCTCCATGTTCCTGGTACTTAGTGCCTCACCGCTTTGTAGTGTGGGAGTTAAAACAGTCAGGTTTGGGGCTGCTGCATCTGTCTGAGGTGCGGCAAAGTCAGTTACTGCTCTGTCGAGTGATACAGTTTCCTCTCTCTGTCTTAAGAGTTTAACTGGTGGGTCTACTGAAACTGGAGGTATAATGACTAGTGGTGATGCCTCCTGTCTCGCCTCCTGTCTCGCCTCCTTTACTCCTCCGTCAGATAAAGGGTAGATGCTGGAAGCAACAAACCCTGATTCTGTTATGGGGCCTGAGATAAGAGTAGCTCTAGTAGCATGGTCCTGTGGTCCATTAGAGAAAGAACTCTGTGTACTTGTATTTTCTGCATCTCCCCCTGCCCCTCCTGATGAGACACCTGGAGCTGTGGGGTTCTCAGGCTGAATGTTGGGGGTTGAAATGGCTGTCTCAACACTTTCCAAGACAGATGTGTTACTTGTTCTGGAGCCATTCTTTGCAGTTTGAAGTGTGTGGACAGAAGGAGTCCATAAAATGTCAGGGTGCAAATTAGAAAGCTGCTCATTTCCAGTCAAAGAGAGAGGCTGTGGTGCAGTATCGCCACTTTGATTTACTTCCTTACTCACAGTTGTTGGTTTTTCCTTTTCTCTGTGGGTTGAGCCTACAGTCTGAGTGTCTGTGTCAGCCTGGGTTGTCACTACACCTTTAATATCCTCTGGATCAGGATATGACTTCAGAGGGGAAATACTGCTCTCTGGATCCAGTCTTGGTGTCAGCTCAGTGGGACCTGCCTGTAGAGTTGAGTCTTGGGGGGGATTTCCTGGTGCAGATGATACTCTGATCGCAGACTGAATGGTCACCTCGTGTATAGCTCCAACTGCCTGGGAAAGGTTTACATTAGAAAAATTAATTACAGTGTTCCCAACATTCATTATGTGTGCTGAACTCCTTCATTAGTCTCCGTTTTTTCCTGGAGAACCGAGAGCAGTAAATTCTTTCAAGATTTATCAGTATTCTACAGTTTTGTAATTGCATTATTGAATATGTCTAAAGCAATAATGGATTTGTCTATTCTAGGGCACAAGGTAAATTACTAAACAACAGAAATTAAATAATAAGAATAACTAATGCCCAGTGGATACAATTCAAACAATCTGCACACTATACTTTATTTTTTACACCATGCCACTACCTCCTGCTGTCACCTGTGCAATGTTCCATATCAATCACATCTGTATATAAAAAGCTGAATATAGTGAACATATAACTCTTATTACTCTTATATTTTCATTATATCTTGTATTTTTCTATTCTATTTTTTATTTAATGTGTATCTGTTGTGTTGTATCTGGAGCTGCTGCAGCGAGTGAATTTCCCCAGTGTGGGATCAATAAAGTCTCATCTCATCTGACGAGACATACTATGAGGCAGAAGTAACAGTTCAGTATTAGACCATCTTTGAGGGAGAAACGTCTGTTCAGAAATGTAAACACTCTCATAGAAAAAATCCTTTTGGTGGGATCACACACAAATATAACATGCAGTTAGTGTCCAAAACAAATCACTTTTTTATGAGACAAACACTCCCTGTGTGGCTTCCACAGACGGACAGGAATGGTGCCACCATAGACGCTTTAAACAGCAGATCACTGTGGATGAATATTATGAAAGACCATATTCACACTAACATGTCATCAATAAATAAAAAGTACTGCTACCATCTCATCGAGTGCAGACTTACATTTCAGAACTGCAAACAAAGGATGGAGGGAGTGGGGCTGGGAGAGATTATTAATGGCCCTACATACCCAACACAGATGTTTTCACTTTTTTAACCTAATTATTGCTCTTCTGATTACATGGTGTGTGTACATATAAAGCTTAATAATATCTCTCAGAACTGCCTGTTAGTTTTGTTGAGTGGAGTTTGGTGAGATCACTCAGATCTCACCGAATCTCAGATCAAATTTATAGTCAGACTTCAGACAGGTGTCTAAATTAATCTGTCTAGTTCTTGACTAACTTAATTAGAACTAATTTGCCATTAATTCTGGGTAAATTAAGACTTTTTTCATACTAAAAAACATGGCTGACCTAGTAGCAACGATGTGAAACCACTCAGCTCTGTTCACTCCAGCAGAAAATGTTTGCCATGTGGAATAACAGTTTTAAAGATATTTCACTGGGAGAATTCAGCGAAGCATGTAAAAAATACAAAAAACGTCAGCTTCAAAATGTCTCACTGCAGTGCAAAGTGAGTTTGCCTCTGGGTAGGGTGGCTATTAGCTAACAACTAACATTTTATCCTTTAGATAAGTCTGTCTTTTGTGAAACTGTCTAACCTTAGAACAAAAATAATATGGCCTTACAGTATAGATCATTCTAAAATACCTTTGTGAAACTGGCCCCAAATGTCTCATCATTCAGAGGTCTCATCAGATTTAATATTACACATAAAAACACAAAAGGATATATTTTTGGATGAGCACAACAATCAATCCATTCCTAATTTACTAGTCTGTTACTTACTGTCCGTTACTTACTGTCTGTTATGAATATAAAATATAAAAAAGAGCAACAAAACAGATGTTATCAAGTGTTTGGTAGCTGACAGTGGTGTGTTGTTTGTACCTGTGTGTGTGTCAGAGCTGAGCAGGTGCTGCTGTGATCCCGACAGTGCTGCTCTGCTGCTGTAGGATCTCCTAAGACGAAGATCATCTGCTGGATGGCGCCCTAAACACACCAAAAACACACAAGAGACAGAAGTGACCAGTTTAAAGAGTTTCATTCCAAACATTGTCTTGTAGCTTCAGTGAAGGGAATTTTATTTAATGATAGCAGTCAGTGTGTGCTGTCTGCTACAGTACCTTTTTTTTTTTTTACACTATCACTAGGGGGCGCCAAGATCAGAACCATTAAAATCATACACGTAGGGCTTTAAAGGTTGCATATCATTTATACAAAGTTATACTAAACTTTTATAACCTTACAACTGTGGTGCAGCAGATGCATTTATGCAATAATGTAAATAACCATAAATTAGAACTTATAGAAAGACTTTAATATAATTGAAGTTGGAGTCCTCCGTGACCTCCACTCCCATTGGTCTGACTGTCCTATGGATCACACACTACTGCTGTTTTTAGCCCTTTTCACCCCAGAGAAAAGGAGGAAATTCTGGCTCAATTGTGTAAGTACCATTTTTAAAATTTGTTTTCACTGACTCATTGTTGATGTATGAGAGGAACACTCTAGATTGACTAAATAGCAAACTAAATATTTTTGCTAATGACTAACTCATGAAAAAAAGATTTATGATCTCTCAATTGAAACAAGGACAAATGCAGATATTAAGGGAACTGTGGAAGTCATAACAACAAGCAGTCAATAGCATGTAATATGCTAGATTAGTTTATCCACTGATTTGTAAATACATTCATCAATCCTTTAAGTGATGTTTGTTTCACTGTCAGGCCTTATACTTATTTATGCAGCTCCACCATTTCCCATTGAGACATAGGAGGTGACATCTTCTACACATTTTATGAGATTTACTCGCTGATGTGAAAATATTCCCCTGCCTCTCATCCTCTCACATGCACATGTAAGAAACCCGCAAACCTGATGCAAAATATTTGAACTACAGGTGATACTTAATGCAAAAGAATTACACGCAAAGAAACTGGTTCACAGCCAATAGTAATGCCTTAATTTACAGTACACTACCTAAACCCCATTAAATGCAAGAGAAGAGCTAGTGTGATTCAAGAGGTTGTCAGATGATGTGCTACATCTTCTAACAACATATTTCGTTCAGAAAAATAAAACTTAGATAACAATTCCAAATCATCTTGATGTAATAAAATGCTCTGAATAATTATTTTTTTTGTCTGGAACTCCTTAAATTGTTTGAATTTGCAGGACATTTTTTGATAATTCAAGTTTTTCTGAGCCCTTTACATTCATTACATAAACATTCAAAATCTAAACAGACACAGTTACTCTTTACCACAGCCTGAGAGAAAGTTAAAATTGAACCTGAATCCATCGGCAACATGATACAGACAATCAGACTTACGCAGCTCAGTAGCAGTAGCACCGCCACAGCACCCTGCATGGCTTCTGATAAAAGTAACTTCTGGACTCCTCTGACTGTTGCTGCCTTACACACTCTTCCAGGCGCTGCACTTAAAAACACACACCCCTCCCTGGAGGACTGATCCCAGAGCTGGCCGGGCTGACCACACATTTACATCCCAGAGAGATGATGAAATCAGCAGACCAAGCCAGACGCCCAAAGTCTCATACAAACACACATATATACATATCACATCTGCTTCCTGTGGCAACACAGTGCCAGACAGGTTAGTGTCCATCTCTTAATACTCAGCAAGTTATTACGCTGCAGTGTGTCAACAACAACACACTTAGGTGGGTTATCTACTGAGTCTGTTGCTGTACAGTAGTTGTACGTCATTTGTTTCCCAGACTGTTAAATCATGGCAGATTGATGGCAAAGGTGATAGAAAACACATTTGTCACTAATGTCGGATTAAGGATGAGTCTACCCTGAGAGCTTCACTCTCACTTCATCAGTCCACTCAAAAGACCTAAACTTACAGAGTTGTTTACAGATTTACACATCTTAAAGGTTTACATGCTCCGTTTTTTTAAACGATATCCCCACTACAATAGACTTTCCCCTTAATTCCTCAATCACTGATGACTGCGTTGCTCTTAATTTGCCATTGAACTTCAAATTGAGCCCTCCGTCCTCCATCTTTTTTTGTTGAGGGTCAGGAGGGGAGGACTGTGGCCCAGGTGAGGAATGTGACATGAGGATCAGAAGAGCGAGGGGCTGCTGCCTGAGGAGGGTTGTGTCGGGTGAGGTTGGGGCCTTACGGTAAAGGGTGTGTGGTGAGGACGTGAAGCTCCTCCCAACAGCGTCAGGCCTAAAGTGTCGATATGCCGTCCCAGGCCCCGGCGCCAGGGGGTGCTCTCCTGTAGACAACAGTCCAGATACAACTCCAGTCTGGACAGAGAGACGGACAGGAAGAGGCTGTGCCACGATCCATCCCACAGAGGAGCAGCAGGAAACCTGTCAGACAGACCTGTGAGAATTTTATTGTCACATATTGAAAATGTTTCTGTTGAATCTTGACCTTCTCGAAGTTATCTCGAGTAATTTAACACCGGGCTGAAACGCTGTGTGTCACTGTCCTCTCTGATTGAAAGTCTGACCACACCCAGCAGTGATGTCACATGGTACTGAAACACCCTTGAGTACAGTTGTACATTGTGGCAGCAAGGTGAGAGGTCAAACCACTGGAGGTCAGAGTCACAAGATTTTCAGAGGGTGTTAAGTTGATTAGTGGTAGTATCAAAAGATGATTAGTTTTGACCCTGCACCATTTTTCCCTCACTGGGACATTTGGTTCCATCACTTAAGTATTTGGTATCTTGGAGGAAAATGTGCCACACATTGCTGTGTTCCTTCTGTTTCCCTACAGTAATGATAATGATAATGTTATAGACAACTGAATACACAAAAAAGGTACTTATATAATTATTATAAAATATATTTTTCCTATCATACTATCTGTTACAAATCCAGGTATGGATCATTATCTGTGGTTGTCTACGTGTGTGTGCGTGTGTTTCCTCACTCATAGTGTTGTTCCCAGGCACTGACGACAGTGAAAAGTCTTGGCCCCACCTTCAGCTGAAAGAGCTCCTCCCCTTCTTGCCCTAAAATAGCCAATAGCGTCGTCTCATCTGCCCACCGCTGACCCAGACGCAGACGCATCAGCACACTCAGCTCATCCGGAAAACTGTCAAGTAAACGTTAACACATTCACAAATAAATGTACAGAGGACTCTCCCACACACATACTCCATCTAACTTGCACATTTTTATTTAATCAGTCTGGACATGGACAGCTGTGAGATGACTATACAGGACAGTATAGATTTTAAACTCAGGGCCGTGGTGTCACAGAGAGACTAAAGACTTTTCTCATAGAGAGCCGCTTCACAAGTGAATGTAAACTGTATCACAAAGCTGACAGATTCAGACGGCATTAGTACTCCGTGTGTAAACATTCAAGGTCAAGTTTAACACCAAAGCCTTGAGCTAAATCCTTTCAACCTAAACATCATGGAAAGAAAAAACCGTCCTAGACAAACAAGTTCTCTGCAGTCACGTGTGACCCTGTCAACCCTCTGAAAATGAAAAATGATCTCTTGTGGTAAAAGATGCAACAATCTGTTTAACTCGCCTACAACAGGACAACAGTCACTACCTAATTGTTTGTGTATGCTCATTTGTGTTTTTATTTTATTTTAATGAATGTGTTAGAGGCAAAAGAAAAATACACCCACTCAGCTTGCTTTGCATTCCAAACTTGGCAGAGTTTGTGTGTAAATTGGAAAGACTTTACAAATTGAGTGTTACGATATGCTGCCTTGAAACCATAACACATAGTAAACTAATACTAGTAAACACATTTTTTTCTTAGTTAAAGGCAAGTAAGTTAATTATTTTTCTTCCAAAGGTACTGTTTTTTTGGCGGCCGCAACATGAAACTTGGCACAAAATTCAACTGTACAAGAAATGTATGTGTTATATTGTTGCTGCACATGGGCATTGCAAAATGGCTTAACCACGCCCCCCAAAATCAGCCCCCAAGACACATACGATCGCCATGTACGAAAATAGGTAACGTGTATCATGACCAGACAAACAAAGCCCATACCCGAAACCCAACAGGAAGTTGCCCTTTTTTAATTTTGTGATCATTTTCTGTTGTATTTTAATGAACTCCTCCTAGGGAATTAAACAGGTCAACTTTAAAGGGCTTGCCCGTGGTGTGGCGTCAAAAATCAATGTTACGTCAAGAAACAAGAAGTTGTTAAAATTTCTGTGTACTGATTTATGTAAAATTTTCATGGTGTGATCTACATGTGATACGCTGGCACATAATCTGACCGCAGCACGCCACAACGTGCATGGACTGTGAGGGCCCTATCATCATTGTCTTTGTTAGAAATACATGTTGATAGAAACTTATAAAAATCTTATCTTATCTTAATTAGTATAGTACAGTAGAGAAGTATAATTTGTGTCAGTTTTAAGTGGAACTTCCTGCTGAGAGCTCTGGTTGTGTTGTGGACGTGACTCAAAGAAACATCCCTATTGGGACATGTTTGCTAAATAAGCTCAGTGTCAATTTTTTTTTGTTATTTTTACCAAACCCTATTTACTAACTGCAAATTTTACCTGAGAAGTAATGCAGTAGTAGGTTACATAAGATGCTGTGTAATACTCACAGAGTGCCGAATACTGCAGCTGTTGGTAGGAACAGGGTGGCATATTGTCCAATCTGATATGCTGGACAACCTCGGTCATCTTCTGTAGTTGAGACATTGTAGTGAGTGGCTGACTGCATGTCCAAGAGCTGCAATAGATCCACTTCTCCAAACAGAAGACATAGATTATAGATTATTAATGTGTTTTGTTGAGGAAAATAACAATTTCAATTCAAATTTCTCTTGACTAATAAACACCAGCAGCAAGCATATTTTTTTTAATTATATTTTGATTACACAAAAAGAAAGATAAAGACCAAATACAAGCAACAACACAAGAAACAACACCAGAGGTTACAGAAAAATATATATAAATAGAATTAGGGCTGCAACGATGATTATCTCAACCATTAGTCAGTCTGTCTGTAATTTTCTTCATTAATCGATCAGTTGTTTGGTCTCTTGGTATGTAATGGTAAAAGAATGTTGACCACTGCTTCCCAAAGCCCAAGGTGACGTTCCCAAACATTCAATTTTTTCAAAGACATTCAGGCCTCTGTCAGAGGAACCCAGAAAACATTCCCACCTGAGCAGCAAATAATACTGATATACGTTAAAAATGGTCAGTACTGTTGTTTTTAGCAGAAGTTCACTGTCTTTGGAGAATGTGGAAGTTTTGGTGGAGGCTTTACACCTCATATGGACAAATCACAATGAGATATAAATTTTTTTGGCATGGGCTTATTAACTTTGGATGTGTAAGTTGTAAATTCGAAGGCAACAATTTTTCTCTGCAGTAATCAAAACAAAAAGCAGCACTCTTGATATCAACCTGATGGTAATGACTGATGAATGAAGTTGTAACTGCTTTCTGACCTCAGAAATTATATGTGGTTAAAAAGTAAATATAACATTGACATTAACAGCCAGATGAAATTTCTGACTCCTCGTTCACTCAGCAGAATACTGGAAATTGACATTTTTGACTGAAGTGGATGAGTAATGCTCTCAGTAACAGGGAACAACTTGTTCCTGTGGTTAAAATAACGCTGAGGAACAGTTTCTTGTCAGAGTTTCCCAAAACGTTCCTTTGTGTATCACTGCTTTTAGACTGCTGTGGAAACACTGAATTCACAAAAAAAGAAAAGAAAAATCAATGTCAGCACCATTTTTTCCCCACACACAGCCATCAGGAATGTATCATCCTAAGGTTTCCTTACCTTTCACGCCTCCAAGTGTCACATTTCCTCCGGCCCTCCCATGATCCTTTGCTATAGGAGGGAGATAACACTGCTGTGGTGTGCTCACTTTCTGAGACAGACCGTCTGGTTTAACTACAAACAAAAAGGCCTGAACCCAGAGCAGCGAGAGCACAGATGAGCTCAGCATCACGTCGTCAGTAGACAGCAGAGAAAGAACTGATGTTGGAGGAACATCTCAGCTGTTACACATGGACCAGAGGGTTGGGCCTAACTGGCATATCTGTCTTCTCACAAACACACTCAGCTTATGTTCTGATCTCTCAACAACAAACCAGATATCTCACCTACGTCTCTGCTCTGTTTCCAGTGCACTGAAAAGCTTCGCACCTGGTTATTTAGGGAATATGTGAACATACACACAGAAACATGCAAAAACACGCGTTCCCGGAGGAGTCAGTGGGTTCAGTATCACATATCATAAAAATCTGTGCACAAGCATCAACCTGTGTCATGGACTCATGGCTTCCCGATTGCTTTGGTGCTGATGTTAAGATTATTATTTTGTACTTCCAATAATCTCTCTGATGAAAGACACATTTTAAACATTACATCATATTAATTTGTTTGAAGCTACAAAAGTGCATCCAAACTCAAAAGGAACAGACACTAGAGGTAATTGTTGCAGATCAAGTGCAGTTATATTTTATTGATAGCTTTTAAATATATATTCTGTATATATTTCATTATTTTTACGAGGACCAAGGTCAAGGGATTTTTGTAGACAGTACAAATGTGTTGGTATCCATTTTCTAAAGGCCATTACGCCCTTGAGGATGTCATTAAGTATATGTAATGTTTATGATGACAAATTTCAAAATGATACAATTCTAGTGGCCTAGGAGTTTAGCTGACCATGAAGATTTCCCCATCCAAAAGGCAAGAAATTCCCCCCCCCCACACACACACACACAAAAAAAGAGAATTTAAAAGTAGTAAAATCAGCCAGTACAGAAAAGAGAAGTGATCTCTCTTTAATGGTCCTTTGAACAGATATGTAAACACTTCTTTTGTTAAAATCATAGACAGGCATCATGATACAAATAAAATATAAACGGTGCAATAAATTTAACATGGATTTATTTTGTACAGTTTATACTACATATTTACCAGAAAGCTTCTCTATCTATGAAATCCAGGCTTGATAGGGAACTCTTTGAGGCGAGTTTCCCCAGGCACAGATTAGGCTGTTCTGTACAGAGACGGACATCAAGGTTAAGTCCTAGGCTGCACTGTACACGTTAAGCACGGTCCTATAAACTACAGGCTGAAGCCTTAACCTAACCTGTATACTGTATAAATCCAGCCTTGCAGTCGATACACTTCAAAGGAGGTTTCTGAGCTAAAATACATCTTTTTCAGTTCAGGACTTTCTGTTTGGGACTTCGGCAGGTGAGTGTGACCTCTTCTGGCCTGTGGATCCTCAGTCCAGATATGTCCTGTTTTCACATTTCAGAAACATGTCAAACTCAACATATTACATTAACACAACAGCACATGATATAAATATACATCTTATTTAAGGGGGGGAACAACAAATGGTCAAAAGTTGTTCAAAGATATGGACAGTGAATGCTAGGACTGAAAAAGCATTAACTCTGCCTGCTGTTTCATATTGACTCTGTTGGTGAAGTGGTTTTAAATCCCATTTAATATCATGGATACATTAAAATAAGAATAATCAGGCAGCTCTAAGACACATTTCTCTCACATATCTCTCATTATCATTGTCACCATGATCATGCATGTGGAAAATTACTATAACTCTGGAGCACAGAAAATACCATAATGCTTGTTTCTACTGACCAAAAACATATGCTTCAATGTGATGGAAACAATGTGGCAGTTAACATATAGACAAACCATACTGTGCCTGTGATTCCTCTTTTGAAAAGCATCCACACTGCATCACATGTAAAAAGGACATTAATTTCTCATCAGAGGCAACACATCCTGAAGAAGACAAGTCCCTGGCTCTATGGGCCGGAAGAAAATGGCTTTAGTCACCTCTCTGACACAACATCGACAGTGGTTATCCAGCACAGAAACGTGAAGAATGAACATCCATTTGCCTTCACTCAGGCTGTCTGTCCTACAGATGGTCGCCCATGAACAGAGCTCTGGTTCAGTTCTTTTGACGGTCTTGTCACGTTATACTGACTGACCTGTAGGATTAAGAGACACTTATAGTCTAGTCTTCTGGTTTTCACAAGTCTTCATTTTGGGTCCCAGATAAACATTTTTTCAGAAGATTTTGTGAAGATAATATTTTACAAATACAATGGTCCAGTATCCTGAGACAAAACATCTCTTATTCTGTAATCTGTTCAAGAACATCAGCATCTTTTTCACACTGCAGAGCCAAAATAAAACTGTACTGTGCTGCTCCAGTTGAAGGTACACTGTCATTGTTTTCACATGAGGACAGAAAAATAACTTGATTTCACTTGAAGGTTTGGAACTTGATTTCCTGTATTGACTATTTATTGATTAGTGACTGTATAATGCCCATGAACCACGTGGATACTCTTGTTGTAAACAGGAACTGGGTGGAATGGCTGGTTGCCAGTTATAAACTGGCAAAATCTGGAAATCTGGATCAACCCGTTTCATTGCTACTCTTACAACTATGCACAGTAAAGACTAACAGAAACCCTCTCAAATGACCTTAACATAAGAACCAAAAGCTAAAATACATTCATCGTATTATAGTTTTACATGCTACCTCTATGTTCACCTACACAAAACGCACTTAGATCAGTTTCTTGGATTCAACAAGAGGTTTGGATCGATGTCTCACCATATTTTGTTCAAATAACAATCAAAACACTAACTTGTGTGGGAAGGCTTGGCAAAACCCAGGTTTGCCTGCAGTGATCTACTTATAGAACAGTCAGTCTCTGCTGTTTTCTTGATTTGGCAAATTTTCTCTATTGAGAGCACACACACGCACACATAAACACACCCATGTCCACACACGTAGCCTCCCTCCAGCTACAGACACACACCCAAGAACACATTGCAGACAGACACCCAAGTATCCAGATAAATAGCAGTGGAGTTCAGTCCTGCCTGTTATGCTACTGGTACTGAGAATACAAGTTCTCAGAGCCACAGAGGAGCCAAAGCCTTGTGGTGCCATGTGGAGCTTCTCTGAGGTGCCCAGTCGCTCTGTGCATCCTCTTCATCTCTGGTTTTTAGCAGCGGTCATCTTCATCTGTGTCACTTAGCAGCTCACTGGCTCCGGTCGGATTCGCCTGGCCCAAGTGCTTCCGGAAATGCCCGTTAGGAACCTGCCAGGAGTGTCTGAGCTGCGGGGCGGAGCTTATGGCGTTGGCCCTTCCTAGGCTGGTTGCCATGGCAGTCTCAAAAGTAAGCGTGTCCTGCCCCTCGCTTGCCTCTCCACCGCTGACGTCCTCATGGAATGGGAGGTAGGGCTCTGAGATGTAGCGGTGAGGAGATGGGTTGCTCGGTCCTGAAACCTGACCTCCGGACGACCCCTGACCTGCAGTGAGGGGGCCACCCTCCTTGTCAGCCCTCCACGAGGTCTCCATGGAGCCATCAGGGCCATCCTGAGGCTGGGTCTGTCCCTCGGAGGAGGTTGCTGGTGTGGGAGAGGTGGTGGCTCGGCAGACCAGAGGGGAGTAGGAGATGTATGGCCGCGGACGAGAGGGTGTCTGTGGCAGCTGGCGCCGATTACGAGGAGTGCTGGACTCTGAGGCCGAATGGGCAGGGCTGCCTGATGTGTTCACCTGCAAATAACACAAGCACAATAGTACAGTTACAGACTCCTTCTACTGCAGTTTCAGCTGATATCCTCCTCCTGTAGGAGAGACGGAGTACTGCTGGTTCTCTGGTCCCTTTTAAATTTGTACAAACCAGCAAGACTTGGGTCATATAGAATAAAAACTGGTGTTTTTACTGTTGTACTCCTACCTGTCTCTGTAAAGTGTGTTGTGCGTGTCCTTCACTAGGTGAAGGGGACCGTCTCCTTTCACATGATGGATCTCGGCTGCGCTCCTCAGAATTACAGCGGGACACATCAGGGGACAGTAGGTGGCGCCGTTCCTTAGATCGCCCTCGCTCGTGACTGCTTGTTTCTTTGAGGTTGATTCTAGGACCTAAGAGGTAAGTAGAGTCAGTTTCAGGTCAGAGAAAAGAAAAACATCCTCATAAATCCCCAGTGTAATATATATATATATATATATATATATATATATATATATATATAAGCCTAACCCCTAACCCTAACCCTTAAGGTTTTTGCAACTAAAATCTGTCAAGTTTGATATTAAAGTCAATTGTGATTCAAAAGCAGCTGAATTCATGCACAATATCTTAAGAGTTGTATCAGATGCATATGTATCAGTGACCTCTGTAGCTCCTTTGACGAGGCCTGTATGTGCCGTCAGGACTGATTCTCTCCAGAGAGTGTTGTTCCTGCCAGAGGCCGTTCACACACTGGTCTCCGATGGTGGAGAAGGAGCGCTTCATCAGCTTACTGTCTGCTGACATCCCAGGCTACAGACACATCAAACAACCAAGGGAGGAATCACTTAAATAACTCTTTCTCTCTCTCATAACCAAACACACATACATACAGACATATAAACTGTAGAACACATTATGTGCTGAGCAAAGTCTACAAACAATGATTATAATGGCTCTTTTAACATGTGTAGACAAATGTGAGTATACCTAATATACCGCATATTAATTTGAATAGTTTAAAGCACATTCTAATACAAGATTTGTTTATGACTAAATATATCAGTTTGAATGAAGGTTATTAATCTTTATTACCTGTGGATCAACAGCCAGCCTGGGCATGGAGGACGCTCTGATAGATGCTGTCCGCTGAGGTGATTTAATAACTGTTGGGTCTTGCCTGGCCTGCTGCATCACTTGGTTATACTCCACTACGTCTGGCACCTACGCAAATACCACAAAAAAAGAGGGCTGGTTGTTTTATTTCTCCTTCCAAGTCTCAAGAATCAAACTGAGAACATTTTACTGAGTCTCTGTGTTCACTTAAATCATATTATTTTATTATTCCCTTGCAGTAGAAAACTAGCAAACAACACAAGGCTTGGGAATCACAGATCTACACTACTTTCCACAAGGCTAAGGCATAATGGACTGCTGATGGGTTTAGTTGACCTAAAGTTCACCTTCAGCTAACTTTTCTTTGACAACACAGTGATTATGCAGATAGGATGTGGAGATATTCAACTGTTCTCAACACTACATGTAGGTGGTTACCAGTGTGTGTAAATGATGGTGGTGGTGGTGTGGGTGGTGATAGGGGTGGTAGGGTGAACGGTAATCGTCATCATCTTCATCCTCCTTCTCCTCCCTGGAGCGAGACAGCGGCTTAAGGAACATCTCTTGTGGAGAAATTGGGCTGAGTGCCACAAAACCTCCTCTGGTGCTGAAGGAGCACACACCATCATACCATCACAAATTATTGTTGGCACGGAAGAAGGGACAAAATGCAACTGAAAAGTCAGTGAACATATTCTACAAAATACAAAAGATTTTTCTCTTCCTATCAGCATAAATAACCACAAACCAATATAATGAGAGGAAAATTAAGGTTGAATATTTACAGAGCAGATCCGGCACTATGCCTGAGAAATGAAAGGGATTTGGCATTGCATAGGATTTCTTGAGGCAGAGAGGAGGCATCCATACGCTGGAACATTGGAGCATTTTTCTATGGGGAGAGAAACACACAGTGGGAGATGGGAAATTAAAACAGGCTACAAATACGCCCCTATAATTACAACATGCACATTACCAGCAAAATGTCATTTTTGGAAAGTGCCATCTCTCCAGTCTGTTTATAAAATAAATCATTTAAAACTCACTGGGCTTTAGTACACACAGATCTCAGGCTAAATGTTAAACCAAACAGATTAAACATGCTAAATTTGAATAGCTAAATGATGAAAATAACTACTAGTACATCAATGGCTGTTGGGTGCATCAAGGGAACAAATTTAAAACTCCAGTGTGTAACATTTAGGAGGATCTACTGGCAGAAATGGGACATAATATCCATAATTATGTTTTCATTAGTATATAATCCCCTGAAAATAATAATTGCTGTGTTTTCGTTACTTTAGAATGAGTCGTTTTTATCTACAGAGTCCGCCATGTTGAACCGTCATGTTTCTACAGGAGCCCAGAATGGATAAACCAAACACCGGCTGTAGGAAGGGCCTTTTGTGTTTTTTGTGGCCACAATAGCTTCTCCTACATGCTTGGAATGGGAGGGTGAAGCAAGGGGGTCGTAATCTGCAACTACAGATAGATGCCACTAAATCCTACACTCTGAACTTTTAACCAGGATTTTGTTTTAACACACCCTATATATTTTTTTCTTTATTTAACCACGTAAAACACTCATTGAGAGTAAAATCTCAAGAGTGACCTGGCCAAGAGGGCAGCATAAACATTGTTACAACAGTAAACAATACAAGCAGATACAGCTGTCATACACTACAGGTGAGTGAACACAATATCCAGTTAACATGAAATATAAGGTTAGGAACAAAAAAAAATTCTATAATTCTTGATTCTTTAAAAGTCCCCCGTAGTAATCAGCTCGGACAACTTCAGGTCCTTCTGTATGTTATTCCAGAAAAAGGGGGCAGCATATTTATATGCCATTTTATACCATGTCATACATATTATAATATGACATGTACCTGTTCCTCCAGTTGCTGTCGGAGCTTCTTGGCCTTGCTCTGCTTGTAGTAGTCCATTATCATCATGGCAGCATAGATCTTCCCAATGGTCATATCACTGGCTGAAAAATGAGACAGCAGAAACATTTACATCATAGATATGACCCTTCAAGATCACATTATCAAATGAAATAACATTTACTATGACAACTACTATGACAGCAAATATATAAATCTTTCTTTTCTATGATATATAAATTATTGCAGTGTTAAGTTGCAGGCGTTGTTGCTGATGTCACCTTTGTGAATGGGAACCAGCAGGTCCAATGACTTCTGAGAGAGATGAGGCCAGATGACACTAATCTCCTTCTGCAGGTCCAGGTCCATCTGATTTCTATCCTCCCCTCCTGGAGATAAAAAAAAGCAAACACACACACACACACACACACACACACACACACACACACACACACACCCACACACACACACATATTAAGTGTTTTACATTACAGTAAATGTGGGTCTGTCTGTGTTTTATATCCGGTCTAACCTCTGGCTATCTTGACCTCCAGGGCGGTGCGGATGAGGGCCATGAGGGTGGAGGTGAAGTGAACGGACATGTCCTCGTCCACAGGCATGTTCATCAGGACTAGTCTCTGATGGCAACAGAGAGAGTCAGTCACAACCCAGCGCACCAACAACACATATCACAATGCAAAAGTGGAAGCCCAGAGCGGCTGTGGTTGATCATAATGTCTTACAGTCCTATTATCTTGTGGTCATAATGACTTATTATCCTCATTATCTCAGGATAACAAATTACAGTTTTGTGGTACTTAATCCATCCCAAGATGACAATTCATTTAGCCAACAGGCTTGACAATGAACAGTTTATATTTGACATTATCAAGGTTGATAGGCAGGAATGTGATTGTGTTACTTTATTATAAACAATATTTGAATAAGTTTCCGTTTGAAAGAGTATGCTCAGTTTGCAGACTCATCCATAAATCTGTTTGGGACATAATTATATAATTCAATTATGATTTTAGGGAAATTAGCTTGAAAAAATGATGAGCAACCATGGCCTTTCTGGGCACCAGAACAAAAGAAACAGTAAGTTTCCACTTTAGTTTATAGTTTACTTTATATTGCATACTTTGCTATGTTTAAATAAAACTACACTACTACACTCGTAGATACAATGGGACAGAGAGGACAACCATGTAATGATTTACCAAATCTTGTTTTGATGATCACAAGAAAACAGTTTTAATTTATTACTGTAAGTCAAGACCAAAAAGGAAGAAGATAGTAATAAGTAATCTGTCTTTTGGGAATGTGGAAATAACAATTTGGAATATCAATGATACAATCTAAGGTCAAAAACAAAACAAAAATCAATTTCATTCTTGCCCTCTACTGTTCTTTTGTGTAGGAAGATCTAAACAGCATGTGCTGTTTATCTAGTTTCATGAAAGAAGATAAAACTCAATACAACACATCATCTGAGATGGAGCATGCATGCAGACTCACAAACTCACACACACAAAAACAAACACCCAGTACACTACATATTACACACAGATCACATTGGGCTGTGTCAGGAGGCACATGCAGACAGGTATAGGTGAGAAACAGAGAAATAAGTATGAAAGACATGAGAACATTTTAACAGCAGACTTCTACAAATGACAAGATTTAGCATGTAGATGTTTGACGACTTTCTGGGTAATGTTCTGTGACTGGCTTCGAAAAACAAACTCCACCAAGACTCTTTCATCAGATAACAGCAAACAGATAACGACGTCTTATTCTTTCTGCCAAGATGCAAAGCAAAACAGGCAAATCATTATTGTAGCGCTTATTATCTGCCAATGACAAAATACAGAAACTTAAAACTGTTTCAACAAGCAATACTGCATCATATAATCAACAGAAAAAAATGCTTCGCTTTTCCAATGTATGACACACAAAATGAGCTTTGACAGTGCTTGTCCTCGTTGATCAAAATATGAAGGCAGTGCCTGTTTCATCTCTGGTGTTTAGTCTACCTTATATGCCAACTTGGAGGGGCATTTCTTGCCCAGGCCTAGAGGTGGTGACATGTTGGTCAACATCTCATACATGTCAGTGTAATGGATACGACCACTGGGGGCGATAGGTAGCCATGAAGATGGGGATGAGAAAGAGGGAAAAAGAGAGAGGGAGAAGAAGAGGGCAAGGAAGGGGGGTGGAGTGATGATGTCGGAGGTGAGGAAAAATTTAATAATGGTGGAGGTGTCGGGGAGTGCGTTCCCGAGGGATGGAGGAGGAAAAGAGCGCAGGAGGGGGTGAAGGGTGATAGAGAGGAACAAAAATGGAGGAGATACAAAAGAAAGGATTATTCCAAGGCATCACGCAGGAGGAAAGAGTAAAGTAGGAGAAATAAAACAGGTTGTATTCTTTCTATGCTGCCATCAGGGCATAGAAATCTGGGAAAGGAGAAAAACCCTTGGACAGGATGAGCAAAGGAATGACAGCCTCGCTGGATCTGGTACAAATGTCAAATACTTACGTTGTGTAGCGCTGTATGTGTGTTTGAGAGAGTACTAAAAACATCTTAAAACCAGATCCAAAAGGTAGAAAGAGACAGGCTTCCCCCAAATTGCTCCACAACTGCATCAAAAGCAAGATTGAAGCATTTTAAAATTAAATTAAAATTAAAATTAAAATGATGTATGTTCACTTATAATCCTGAATGAGGGATGTCCTGTGCCTTAGTACCCTGAGACTGGAGTGTCGTCATTCTTTGACCTGAGTAACACACCCCTAAAGGTCAAGCAGGGCGGTGACAGCCGGTGAAGGGACGGAAAGGAGGGATAGGAGGAAGTCAGGAAAGATCCCACACAAAAGAGGCAGTGTGGGGGGGTTTGTTGACATGGGGGAACCAAACCTTGCATGCCACCCTGTGTGGGCAGTTCTTTCCAAAGCCCAGTGGTGGTGAGATAGTGCGTACAACTTTGTACATCTCCTTATAGTGGATCCTACCACTGGAAAGAACATACATGTATTTAGTTGTGTGTCATTATAGCCTTGTACTCCACAAGAAGGGTGAATGAGGCCTAAATGGAGGCTCTTGTCCTGGAAAGAGCAGTTTTAAGACATCTTAACAGCATAAAATCAAAGATTTCTTTTAATCTGTAATGAAGACGTATAAAAATACTTGAATAACACTTTTTGTCTGTCATTTATTTGTGTTGCAGCTTATTCAGATGATAGATATCAGACACAGTATCAATTTAAATAAATGTGGATTAAGAAGAGCACCTCTTACTTCCATCCATAGTTGTAACTGTATTATGAAGTTGATTAAGTCTGTTTATATTTGACAGCATGACTGTAGAACACATCATTTAACATCACTGAAAATTGTTAGAATTTGTATGTGCACAGCAGCACTATGTAGGTGTAGCATAAAGACAAAGGGACACTGACCAGGCAGCACGATCATACTCTCCCCAGATCCGGACAAACTCATCCAGGTGGTGTGGACCCAAGATTGACGAGTCTCTGGTCAGATACTCAAAGTTATCCATGATCACGGCCACGAACAGGTTCAGCATCTGGACAGAAGACAAAGAGCAGAGAAAGGAGAAGCCGTGACATTTATTATTATGAGATGGAAGGTGCTTGATATCAGCTTAGTGCTCAAAACATAAAGAACAGCTGCTCTTCCTAAGAAAATTAACATGAGACAGTGAATAAGCTAAATATGATAATAATATGATAATAATAATAAAATGTCAAGTTTATCCCCTTGACACAGAAATAAGGCTGAAACATTAAGAGATGTATTGTTGTTGTAGTTTAGAGTAATCATTCACACAGTTTCCTTGTCATACCAGGAAGGAGCTGAAGAAGATGAATGAGACAAAGTAGAAATAGGCGAAGTCAGAGCCACAGCCCCCCTCTGGGTCGGACGTCTGTACTGCAGGGTCCGTCTCACACTTCTGCCCCCCCAGACACGACAACATGATCTCCTGCCATGACTCCCCCGTGGCACTCCTGGACACACATACATTACACAACACCAGAAGGAGGAGGGGTTGGTTAGGACTCGAGCGGTCCAGCTCACAGTTTATTCACAGTTGCGTCTGCCATTTGGAAAGTGCGATCAAAGCATCGAGATGCGCACCACTCACTTCAGAGACAGCTTGTAGATGGTCCAAGTGTGAGACCTACAGTTGAGTAGTCTAATCCATACGTTTACAGTATGTTCTGCATGTAATAGTGTTGACCTTTTATTGCCTTTATATATAATATCAATGTTTTAAACAGTTGCTTTTTTAAAACGTTTTTTTAGCAACTGTTAAATATGAAAGTCAAATGATTTTTTTTTTCATAGGTGAAAACAAAATTTTAAACTTAGACTATTCTTTTATCACATTTAAATGTACAGTAAACACAATATAATAACACTTTGGTCTCGATTTTAGCCATTTTATTATTTGACCCACTCTGCTTTTCATCACCAGATGTAAAACTCTCAAAGTGTCTGCAAAGCTATTTGCTAAGGAGGTAAGTGGTATACTGCAGCTTCTATGTTATTTTGTTTGGATCTCAATTTAAATGAGACACAAACATGGTAACTACTGTAGATTACTGAAGCTAAGCCACTGGATTTAGCAAAGTGATAAAGTCCAGAGTTACCCTGAAGAACAGGACTGAAGATCTCAAGGTGTCCTACCTGAATAGCAGCATCAAAGCACCAGAGAAACTCTTGAAGTTGTTGTGCTGGTTAATGTGAGTCTTGTCATTCAGCTTGATGTTCCCAAACACCTGATTCACACAGATATACACACATAGGCAACACATTAAAACACATCCATAACTGGTAGAGCATGACATAAACTATTTCATTTCAGCATCAAACAAATATACTTCTGGTGCTGTGGGACGCTGGATAAAAATGGTAAATGTTGCATACTGAACATCATCTCCAGAGAAAGACAGAGACTGGTCAAGTGTCTTCCTAACCTGCATGCCAATGATGGCGTAGATGAAGAAGAGCATGGCGATGAGCAGGCAGACGTAGGGCAAAGCCTTGAAGGACTGGACAAAGGTCCACAGAAGAATCCGGATGGTGTAACCTTGTCTCAGCAGTTTGATCAGACGAGCTGCTCGGAAAAGCTTCAGGAAACTCATGTTGAACGTATCCACGAACTGGAGAGGGGAGGGAAACTGTTTACCAGTGGGGTTGAGTGATGTTAGCTTGTCATACGCAAAAATAAAGTATTAATATTCACATGAATACTTAAAATTGAGGGGAAACTCGGTACAAGGTACACTTAAACTATGCGACAAATTGCTATTATTGGCTAGAACATTTATTTTAATTAATTGGATCAATGATAAACCACCTACTGTCACATTATGGTATAGGGAAATATTCAGAGTCCTCCCCCATGAAAGACATAGTGCAGTTGTGAAGGGTAACGAGAGGTCTTTCAATGAAATGTGGGCTCCTCTGCTTAACCACCTACCTGAGGATTTGACTCGGCTAGTGATGAGGGGCCAGTTTTCCCTAAAATGGCCACGCCCACCTGGTATAAATCCATAAGTGTCTTCTCTTGTACTGTGGTTCTTAAATACTGTCATTTTTTTTTATGTTTCAACTCCGCCTGATGTATCACTGCTTACTTTTGTAGAATATTGGCGCTGTTGTGGCTATGGCTACACTAATGGACAATGTGTGTGTATGCAGAGCAATATGGAGAGAGGCTCCATATGTTCTGTGAAGATGAAGGGGGGACAGTAGACTGGGACATTTTCCTGCTAAGAATAGATGGATGGCAATATATATGTATATATATATATATATTTTATATTATATATGTGATATATATATATATATTTTTTTTTTTCTTTTATCTATCTCTGTTACTGACATGATGGCAAAATGTATAACTTGTGTTTCTGTTGAAAACCAATAAAAAATTGTTACAAAAAAAGGAAAAGGTACACTTTTTCTTTTAGAGTCTGTTGATACTTGATCATGTTTTCATTACCCGCAAGTCTACCACAATCTCTGTGATGCTGCCCAAAACAGTGATGAAGTCAAAAATGTTCCATGTATCTCGAAAGTAGTTCTGTAGAAACAGGAAAGATGCTTTGAGACATTTTTAAAGGCGATCTTGAATTCACATTCAGGCTGTGTGCTCCTCTTTTCTCTCACCAGAAAGCCGAAGGCCATGATCTTGAGCACACACTCAACAGAGAAGAGAACAGTGAAAGCTGTGTTCAGGTGCTTCAGTACGGCGTCATATGCTGGCGGGGCAGAGTAATACTGAAAACAGAAAGGCAGCAGGGGTTAAACTATAAGACATATGCGGTATGAGTGGGATAAAAAGGTAGACTATTCCCTAACCAGTTCACTGCAGTGTAACCTCATGATACCAGTCTGATATCAGTGTGAACTTCAGCCCTGCACCCTGCAGATCTACAGGTTGATGGAAGATTCCTCCAGACCCATAAATAGTCCCTCAGTCTCTGCACCTCTCATCTGTCGCACTATAAAAGGAGTCATTCCTCTGGGGGCGGCAGCCACAGTTAATGAGGTCATGCTAAATAGCAGCCCCTGGACATTATAGATCAATATTTAATACAGGCTGAGTCACCCCACGTCTTTCTGTCTGACTGTCTGTCTCTCAGGATATCCAGCACAGCCCAAGAGAAGGCCAGTTCAGGAAATAAATAGTGGTGAGAAACTAAAACATCAGCAGATCTAAATGAAAACATCACAGTGTGTTGAGGTGGTACCTAAAACCGACACATCAGCTTCTACACACCGATGTTTCTAGTTAGGAGTGACACATCTTGGTTTATTTTAAAACCAAAGTGTTAACAGTCACAGGTTCATGACAGAATATGTTGCTGAGAAGCACCACAAGGTGTGTTTTTCCTATTAGCAAACCAGGATATTTGGAAAACGGCACGTCATATTTTAGGAGAGAGGAAACAGATGTAGATAATGGAAGAGCTTGTCATCCTCTCATTCTGCTCCTACTAAAATGTACTGTACTGTTTTTGTCTTTGATTTTCCTCACCTTCATCATCAGTACAATGGTGTTGAGAGCGATCATGGCCAGGACGGTGTACTCAAAAGAGGGTGACACCACAAAATGCCACAGACGGTACTGGAACGTGTGCCGGTTCTGGGGCATGTAACGGGTCAGGGGTTTGGCACTGATGGCAAAGTCTATGCATGCCCTCTGAAATACAGAGAACGGGAGAAAAAGGAAAGAAAGAAGCATGAAACAGTAAAAAAAAGACTATCCACCTTGTTTTAATGACACAGTTGTTTTTTTACTTCTTTTCTGTTTGATTTAAACCCTACAGGAAGAAATAGACATTTCCTACAAGAACATTTATGGATTTAAAAAGACAATCAGGGTACATTTTATCTATTTTGGCTTCACAGACTAGACTGTAAATCTATATTTTGAATGAAGTAATGAATCATACAGTCTCACTGAGCCACACATAAGAAAAGTGTTTCCCTCACCTCATTCTTTTCCAGGCTGCACTCCTCCATCATCTTATCCCCCTGTTCCTGGAAGGTGATGATGATGAGAGCCACAAAGATGTTGACGAAGAAGAAGGGAAAGACGACAAAGTAGATAACGTAGAAGATAGACATCTCCATCCGGTTGCCGTGGCTTGGACCTCTGTCCTCCTCTGTCACATCCACTGAGTGCTGCAGAACCCTGGAAGAGAGACACGATGCTAACTAATGCTAACACTAATGCTATTGTTGTATATCTATATACTATAACTCTTATATAACTATTATCACTCTTTATAAAACAATATTTTAATCATTTTTATGATCCCCCAGACACAAATTAAAAAAGTGCACTGCAGAATTATTTTCTGGGTGTATATGTGTATGTATATATGTATAAAAATAACTGTCTTATTTTACTTTATCTTTTCCTATGTGAATAACATGACTGGACCACAGGCTTTCAATTTGTTGTACAGCCTTGTGTTGTATAACGATAAATACATTTCCTTAATTATGTGAAACTTAAAAAAACTTTTGGCAAGACAGAAACGGCACAAGAACAGGAATAATTAAACCCGCTGAAAATGTACCAAACAGCCATCATTCACAAAATCAAGACTCTTGCAAGAAGACAAGTATTCTTTAATGACACACTGTGTGCAAGAAGATGTACCCTTTTTTAATTTTGAAATGATGTTATGTGCTAAAGCAGCTATTAGATTTACCAGAAACTTTTAGGAAGTATTTGTTCACTGGGGTGGGGATCAAATGCCTATTTGCCATTTAGAAGAGGATATCAATTTATTTCTACAGCAGCAGTCAATTAACAAGGGTTGGAACAGTACAAACCCACAAGCACTGTCACTGAAATATTGGTGTAACCTTATTGTGAGATAATAAATGGCAAAATCTTTGTTAAGTTAATCACATCTATTATATTTCCTTCATCAAAGGTCAGATTTGACCATTACCAAAGAACAAACCAGATGTTAAAAGGTTATAATGCTCATAAAAGCTAATGAGCCCTCTACGAATGGAAAATTATATGAAAGATTCTGCTGAACTTCCTCATCCAGCATGAGAATTAGCGCTCATCTGCTGATTCCAGTCAGACACTCACTGAGGCCAACCCTCTCCAGTGGAAACAGTGAAAAGAGTGAGTAGAGCCCAGATGACGTTGTCGTAGTGAAACTCATGTCTCTTCCAGTCTCTTCTCTTCATCTCTTTCTTGTCCTTCCCGTAGTCAATGTAGTAACCCCTGGAAGAGAGGGAGGAGACCACGCACAACAAGTTGTAACAAAGATGCATCTACTAAAAAAAAAATAATGAAGAAATGTAAGAATCATAATGAACCTGAGAGGATTTTGTAATATTTTCAACAACTTTATTAACTTAAGTTTAGGAGGATGTGGTGCTTTAAACAAATAACAAACCCAAAAAGGAATAAAAGACTGAATAAAGGATGCAAGAAAAGAAGGAAGGAAAGAAAGATGGAGGGAAAAGAAAGAAGGAAATAAGAAAAGAAAGAAGGAAGAAGGAGGAGGGAAAGGAAGAAGGAAAGAGAGATGAGGTGAAAAAGAAGGAACTAAGAAAGGAAGCAAAGAAGGAAAAGAAGGAAAGAAAGATGAAAGAAATAGGGGAGGAAAGAAGGGAGGAAGGAGACACTGATATAAGAGATTATTATAAATCTAAACCCTTGAACAGAGGAAGGAAAAAAAGAAGGAAGAACAGAAAAAAAGGAGCATTACTGGCAGTCCTTCTCTGTGTCCTTGGAGCTGTCGGTGCAGTAGAAAAACTTCCCCTTGAAGAGCTGCACGGCGATGACGGCAAAGATGAACATAAAAAGCTTATAGACGATCAGGATGTTGAAGACGTTTTTCAGAGACGTCACCACACAGTCAAACACCGCCTGGAAGACAGAGACACATGAGATGAAACACGTGTGGTGAGATCAAAGAACGGGGTCTGTAAAGTGTGTGACATTTCATTTTCAGTATATCTGGTAGCTGAAATCTTTCTTGCAAGCAAACACCAAAATCATCTTTTTTACACTACCAGTATTTGCTTATTGTTTGTTGTTTGTTTTGGTTTCCTGACAACATAGCTCATGAATGGAATGACTTTCAGGTTTTAATGTGTCAAATATTGAAGTTTCACAACTGCACTTGAAGACACAGACAATGGCATGAAGACGTGTGATAGGCTTTGGAAAGTGTTCAGAGATAATATATTATATGAAATTTGTAGCTAAAAACATTGTTGACCCTTTGGCTGAAGTTTCCTACAGATCTTAAGTCCGTCTCCCAGTGAGTAGAATGAGAAGTGTGTTTTATTAGTCGCAAACCCAAAATGACTACCTGTTAGCACACAGCTGCTCAGGCTGACTAATTCCCTTTCCCCACTTCTAACCCTCCCCTCTCCTCTCTTATTGTATGTATTCCTTTTCTTCTTTTCTCCTCCGCACTTTCCAATTAGTTTCTCTTTCCACTGAGGAGTGTTTTTGATGGCTTACATTTTGTTCAAGGGATATCCATCTGTGTATGAATTAACTTTTATGCTTTGATATATCCTCCTCTCCTCCTGGTTTTCTCCCTGTAGACACACTACGTGTGAGGTTTGGGGATCCCAGCCCTGACAACGAGTCTTCATGCCCCGGTGCTTACAGTTTGTCACCTCACGGTTTATCACCTCATCTGTCTACTTGTTATTTCTCTGCTCTCAGGTCTGCGACATACAGTTATGAGAGAGGAAAGAGGAGGTATCTTTAAAGTCCCGCTCCACTCGAAAACATAATTTTCTTCTTGTTCCTACAGTCAGATTTTTGAGCTTCACTGTGCAGAATGATGTATGTGCAGAGTTTGACACTAGAAGGATGTTTTCACACTTATCTGCTGAAAGTGGAAAGTTTCTCTGCGCTCATTGAAAATCAAATTTTAAGGAGCGGGGTCGAGCATGATTTGTGACATTACAAATAGTTATGACGTCCACCCTTCTCCAAGATTATATATATATCGCAAAAGTGTGATGTAGAAATTTGAGGCCACCAGTGCACATACACTAAGATCGTGTTTTACAGTGAAGTAGGAGACATGTTGTCCAGCAGGAAAACTTCAGTCAAAAGCAAAGTCCTAATTACACATGTGTCCCGTTTACTAGCCTGGTGTGGCAATACGTTCTGACAAATAGAAGCTATTTGGATTCATAAAACCTATTATAGCCAGCTTGCTGCTTAGATTGTACAAATATAAATGTTTTGTCAATATGCACATGTTACATATCGTTTAATTGAATGATCTGTAATTGATATGTTATTTGATTCATACTGGTTTAAATAAACAATTTGATAGTATTTTCCATCTTTTCTGAGCAAGAGTTTTGTACAAAAACACCTGTCCCAGATATAATCAGATTGAGTTCAGTGACTGAAGCAAATAAAAGCCTGGGCAATTAATTGCAGTTTTATGGTATAAATAGATTGTGGACTTTTTAATAAGGTACAAGGAGGATTTGAATGTGGAAATTATTTTAAAAAATTGTGGAAAAAACACATCAAACACACATTATTGCTCCAAGCAAGGGTATAGGGTATGGGTTTTATAGGGTTTCTATCAGTGTGTCTGAGTGTGTTCAAATAAGTAAAAGTCACACACTTGTAAACCTGCTAATTCAGGAACATATACAATAAAACTGCAGGGTTTACTAAATACATGATTAGAAAAGAAAAGAAAGGATGGAAAGACTAATGAGTGTACTATACTTGAGGGCCAAGTATGCAAGTCCAGCTGGAGAGCTCCCCTACCATACACCATCATAGCAGACATGATGGATGCTTTGGTCAAAATCGCACCCAATATGTCCTTTCAACTTTTAACCAAAACTACACATACAGCATATTGGACAACTGATATTATCTCTTTGTCATTTTTAACATTTAGATTGGTTGGTCCTATTTATAACAGAAATTGACAGAAATATACAAATAATACAAATATAGAAACACAGCTGTGATATCAAAGGCCGAGCATCTCTGACCTTGAGTTTAGGAAGCCTCTTGATGGTCTTCAATGGTCTGAGGACACGCAACACTCTCAGCGATTTGATGGTCTTAATGTCCCGTCCTTTGTTATTTCTGTACAGAGACAGACAGAGAGAGCATCACACCATTGCCTTATAGTAATTATCACTTTGTTTGCAGAACTGTTTTTCCCACCTTATTCATCCATCGTTACAGTTTAATCTGAAATATTCTACTGCTGTTGAATTATTGTCTGAAGTTTGTACATTTAAAGATGGTATTTGTTCTAAAAGAGGAAGACATTTTAATTTTTTACCCCATCACATTGCTGGTGGTCAATCCCACAGAGGCATCATCCACAGACGGACACCAACAGGAAAAAGGAACATGTATATCCACAGTTATAATGTTATAAACAAAATGAAAGAGATGACTGCATGAAGTGAAACATTTACAGCAATAAAGCTCATTTGCAGCTGATTTAAAGACACTTTGATGTTTAGACATATGATTAGTGCGTGTGATTAATTCAAAAATATCATGTGACTGACGAGAGGGCGAAGGCCACCAGTGCTCCCACCACAACGATGAAATCAAGGATATTCCATAGATCTCTGAAGTAGGAGCCATCATGGAGGATCAGACCCTGGTCAATCATCTAAGGACAAGACAAAGGTGTGCAGTGAAACATTGTCCATCACCTGGATGGTTTCCAGGGTTGGAGTCAACTTTGAATTCATATCCTTTTTAGGTATTTTAAGTTTTGGTGTTTAAATTTTAAAGAGCTACTGAACAAGTTGAATTAAATGAGGTCTGACAAAGCTTCTCCAAGTTTAACATAGGGACCCCCACAGCGAGGCAGAAGATAAATCTGAGCAGTCGGGAGATGATTAACAGCACAGGAAAGTGGAAAAAGACATATTCCTGCTGCAGAGGTTTATATTTTCAGACATTCCTTGAATCTTTACAGTTTTTTTTTTTTTTAATTGTTGGTTAATTTTGCTTCTTTTCGACTTATTCAAATGGAAAAAGGAAACTGTAAAAGCACTGCTGTTTGTTTTTGATTCGTTATCAGATTACATTTTCTTATGTCTCCCTAATCTGATGCCACTCTCTGTGTGTGTGTGTGTGTGTGTGTGTGTGTGAGTGAGTGGAGACAGGTGTGCTGGAGTCATAGCAGCTGGACATCATTTCAATAATCAATACCTCTACAAATACAAATACCCAGCCTCGCCACTTAAACTCAGTGAGACTTTAGCCCACGCTTTGAACCATTTTAAATAGTTTTTTTTACATAAAAATATTTACAAATAAATAAATGTCTTGCATTTCTGTTGCTAGCTTTTTCCTTTGTCTAACCCTGTCTACAGTTACCCCACAGTCCTATCTGCTCTGGTTCCAGCCCCTGACTCCAGCCCCTCGTCTTGTCAGCCCTTCTTCCCTGCCTCTGATCCCGGGTTTTTCCACGTTCCAGCCCAAGCTTCCCCAGGACTGCATTCCTTTCCCCTGGCCATCACAATAAATACTTACTACTGTCTCCTCGCCTTGAGTGCTTGCACATGGGTTCACTGGTCTATCCCTAACAGGTCTAATCTTCACGGTTCTTGAGATAGATGGTAGAAAAGCAAACAGGAAATGCCCAAAAAGTTTAGTTTCTGGTTTAGATGCTTAGTTTAGTTCCTGAAATTCTTTGGTTGAAAGAGGTGTTCTACCACCATTTCTTGTAATCAGTCACCACACAGTGACATATCATTATTAGACAATCTTTACGCAGTAACTCACCTTTATAATCATTTCAAATGTGAAGACTCCAGTGAACACATAATCAAAATACCGCAGAACCTGCAGTGAGTGTGAGACAGAAGGACCGTCAAAGAGAAAGATCAGATATATTACACAGATTACTTATGATAACTTGATGGTTTCGTGACATTAAGGCCTATTTTACTTCATAGACTCATTGTGTGGTTTAATGCAAAACAGTCCACTCAAATGATGGTAATATAACACAAGATTGTTCACCTAATTCCTCCAATGAACAACCAGGCTCAGTGTGTCTCAAGGCTTTAATCTCCTCACTCATCAGCGATTTAACTGCCCCCCCCCATCAAGTCACATTAACAGCCTTTTGTAAAACAATTTAAGGAAACCTTTTTTTTGGGAAATGTTTTCTTTTTTCTTCATGGTACTTTTGCTGCTTAGCGTAAATTAAAGGAGCTATTAGACCCAAGGCAGAGATAAAGACTGATTGAAATTGTATCTCAGGAGTTAACAGAGTGATTCAGGAGATGGTAGAAACAGCAGAAATATTCTGGCTTCTATCAAGTCATTAATTTTACAGCCGCCCCTGTCAGACCAATGATATACAGTGTGAACACACAAACCTTATTCCAGTCAGAGGAGGTGGCTACAGGGTCCTCAGCAGCCAGTGCTATACTACTAGCAGCAATGACCAGCAGGATGGACATTTCGAAGTACCTGAGGTTCACCACGTAGTGACACGCTCGACGCACCCTGAGGGAGAGCAGATGGCAGGGTGAAGATATGATGCAGAGGTGCTAAGACTGTAAGACTGTGCAGGCTTAAGCTGTCTGAAATTGAATGGCACCTGGGTTAAACAACATCAACGTTGTGCAAGAAATCTTAACTAAAAAGATTAAAAATGTTGAAAATGGTGGCAGTACATGTAATGTTTGCAGTACCATATATATATATATATATATATATATATATATATGGTACTGCAAACTTGTACATACATCCACTCTAGTGTCCTGTGAGAGGTGGTAGCAGCTTACGGGTTATCGGGTTTGAAGATGAACATGCTGTCTGGAGTCACAGCGTTGACAGGCTTTGTCTCCTCTTCCTCCTCCTTCTCTGACTTACAGGTTTCTGGGTCTTTACTGTTGACTGGAGGAGGTCAGGATGAGAAGAAGAAGACTAGGTAAGGACAGGTGTGAGGAGGAGAAGAGTAGGGTGGGATGAGAAGATGGAGGCTTCACAAAGCCACCTTAGAAACTCACAAACAAAATGGGATTATAATGTAGAAAATATCCACTGAGAATAGGTCGAGCCCAGCAGTGGTGAGCCGAATCAGTGATCTATGGGGACTACCTTAAACGGTGACATGACTCAGACCTTCTCAGAAAGAACTGAGGAGGCATCAATTTACCCTGAAGCACGACTCCGCAACTGCACAGCCTATTTTTCATCTCCAATTTATTCAGAAACTGAATTTGCTGGAGAACGTAGGAGAAATGTAACATTTCCAGAAAAGCCATGCTTTTCCAATTTCAGCTGTAAGAAGGGCTTACGTTGATGAGTACTTGCGGATCAGCTACACCAGCTACTTGAAATGAATCATGTCCTAAGTAAAAGCCTATTCACCCCTGCCAGACCGCACTGAGTTAGAATAAAGGCAGTAATATCACAAGTCACGACAAAACAAATAAAGGCATCTACCAATGTTACCAACTACAGGATGAAAAAGTCACATTATCAGCACCAACAGTTGTACCTGTGATCGTAGAGAGCTCCAGAGACGACTGAACATTGGGAACCTCGATGATCACACTGGAGCTGAGCTGAGATTTATCCTGGTCCTGCTCTGTCTCATTCTCTTCTTTGTTACTCTCTGGGATGGCAGGTGGAGACGAGTCTGATCGCTGAGGAGGTTCTTCCTGCTTCTGAGGACGCTGGTCTCCAGTGTGGCTCTGGTTTCCTGGTGGGTCAGTGTCTCCTCCTTCGCTCCTGTCACCTTGTCTGAAAATGCAGAGGCACGGACTTTACTGGATGGACAGGAGGACAGTGATTGGTTGCTATAGCACACAAACTCAGTGAGAGATTTTCTCTTATATTCAATTTACTCTGAAGTTTTGCTTATTTGGTTGTTAATAGGGAAACTATCTTCATTAATGACAAATGTAGAGAGGTAGGAAACATAGATTAAACAAAGGGGCCCCTCTAGTGGCGTTGGTGTTAAGGCACCAACCGACCAGGAACCGCAACATCCCCCATTTGCATCCAGTCAGTTACATGTCGTTCCTCATCTCTTTTTCCTCATTTCATTTTTCTACTGTTGACTATCCAATTAAGACATACAATGCTCATAATGGAAAAAAACATGTAGCCCTAAAAGCAATAGAAGTTGGTAATTTCCAGAATCATTTCTGGAATCCAAACACATTTCGTTATTCAAAATGAATAAATATTCACAGCACAGTTGAATCTAGATTGTGCTGAAAATGACAAAACATATAGCTTGATCTGGGGTTGTAACACAGTCCTCCGCTTAGATCTGTCTATCTTAGATCTACTGAGTACATAAAAAGTAATGTCAGTATTTTGTTCCATAACAGGTCCAGGTCATTGAAAATCACTGGCATTAAGCATATGAATGTGAATCTGACTGGGGACCTTTGTTGCATCGTATTCCCATTTACCAAATCATTCCTGACTCTCTTGACTTTGATTTACAGAGCGAACATAAAAAACATGTTGGATGAGCAGCAGTTGGTCTGTCTCACCTGCTGTCATCAGGTTTGGACACCTCTTCCCCTTTTTTGGCCTCTGCTTCATTTTCTCCTACTTTCCCTGGATTTCTCTTCCTCTCCCTGCTGACCGAGCGACTCGCCAAGTTGCTCCCATTCCCGGGTGATGACCCTTGACTTCTGGTCCCGCTCTGATGGTCACAGTGATGCAGTGCCCTCCTGCCCCTGATCCCACCATGACCTCCTATATCGGGAGTTAGTGTGTCAAGGTTATCTGGTGGTCTGAACTTCTTTACCGCCCTGTGTTGGCGCTCGCCATTCAATCTGGGGCTCCGGCGCTCGCTGATGGTGTTGCGACTCTGATTAGCACCCAGTTTTCCACTCTCTGTAATGGGCTCTGGTACGACCACAGCCACAGAAGCATCAGAGAGGGGCGCGTTCGTAGGATCCAGCGACTCTGGCACCAGCACAGTCACTGGCGGTTCAGGTATGTCACCGGATAAGGGGGCATCTAGAGGCTTATCCACAGACATTGAGGAACTTGAAGGCTGGTTCTTCCCTGGGGAGGCTAAGGGGTCTGTCAGGTGCTTCAAACTCCCGGATGGCGTGTGCTCCATGGCCTTGCGGTGCAGTGACAGAGGATGTCCAAGCTGGGCTGAAGCGGGAGGCCCATCCTTCTCCTCGCTGGGGCTGCTGAACAGGATCTCTCGGCTGGACATCTGGCGGTGTCTCCGCAGCTGGCTGGTCCTCTGCTCCCACACTGACATGGTCATCCTTTTTCTTCTCTCTCTCCTGGACATGAAAGAGTTAGAGGGGTTGAGTGGTGGGGGTGGACGGCCCTCCCTGATGCTGCCCTGTGCCTCCTTCAGGGAGCAGGAGTAGGTAGGCCGGCTGCGGTGGATGGCTCTTTTCCTGTACAGGTAGGGCCGCCTCCTCCGGCTTCCCCTGAGAAAAGAAAGAGAAGAAAAAATTTCAGTATATAGAAGCAGACACGGTTTAATTCTATTCAGCGCCACATTTAACATACAGAAGGTGTAAATTAAGGCTATTCTTAGTGTTAGCATTTGTTAAGGCATTTAATTTTAGCTTTATTGTTATTGATCCAGGTCTGAAACCATTTTCGTTTTTTGCATGCTGTGTATTTTTTTTGGACTCAAAGTTCTATTTGTTTAATGATATGTAAATTAGCAATCAAAATATTTGTGCCAAAAAAATGAATATCACAGTACAGAAAGTCCTTTTGTCTAATCTGTGAGTGGTTTATCAACAACAAAGGGAGATTTAATTTCAATATGAAGCCATTTACTGGATCAATGAAGATGTTAGGTGATAAATTAACCAAGCCAGGAATAGTTGTGTGACTTTACTAACAAAAAGAGTAAGATGCAGAATGAAATCAGTGGAATAGATATAAAAATGTGGAATCAAATAAGGTTGGAGAGTTGGGAGGAACAGGACAGAGCATGAACAGAATACTATACAGGATGGAGTCTGGGACATTTACCCATTTAAGAAAATCAGACAGGCGTTAGTGAGAGATTCAGAGAGCTGAACAGGCAGTGTTACTTACTGGGGCGTGGACTCTTGTGTGGTCCGTGTTATCAATGAGCGATTGGTTGAAAACAAGACATTAGTGCTTTTGTGAGCAGAGACAAAACAGGCCAGGAGACACACAGCAAATGATCCTCAAAAAAAAATAAAATAAATTGACCTTTCACACAAAGACCAAACCATCTGTATATAGACTGTTAATGCCATTTGCCAGCTGCTCTGAATTTGTTAAACATTGCTTAAGGGTAAAACAGCTCTTTCAGAAGACTACACATTCAGATTAATTATTCATTTCATATGTAATAGCTACATCATGTATTCTGTTTGCAATAGAATATTTCCACTGCGCACATCCCTTCTTTAAATGTTTGTGATGAATAAAGGATCAATTTGGAAGTCAAAAACTGACTAGACTCTTGATGCTTTGGTGTGTGTCTCCACTGGAGCCAAGCGGCACATTGACAAACAAGATGGTAGCAGTATTAGAAACAATTAAACAACATTCATAAACATCAACAGTAAGCGTAACATAGATAAGAAGACATCGTAAGTAAGATTGAGATGTTAGACAGTCTGAGCTACAGTATGGGTAGAGGTAGAAAACACAGAGATGGGCTCCATCAGCAAACACAGGAAAAGAGAACATATTTAGATAACCCTTTGAACAAAACCACCACATTGGGATGCAGCTCTGAACACCAACGCCACCTCAGAGCACTCACACATTAGCATTCTTTTAGGACATGCTAGTCGAGCTAAATGAGGAAATTCATGTGCTGAGCTTCAAAATGTTAGCTTAAAATATTCAGAATACTCAAGAGCATTTCGGGGAGGGATTAAAGACTTCACAATGGAAGAAAAACTGTACACACACTGAAAACACTATCCAAATATTCCAGTTTCAGTATCACTTGTGATACTGTACATAAAAAAGCATTCTCACAGAGGGTGTGTGTGTGTAATTTCTGTTTTTCTTCCTTTGATCATGCTGACCAGATGCATGCGTTTATAGGGTGAAATTATCATCAGCCTCCAACATGCTGCATCTCTCTTTTTTTTTTTATTAGCAAATGCTGTCATGCAAGTTTCTGCAAGGTCAGCAGGGGCAGGTACCGCTGGGGTTTCAGAGCTGACATCGGAGATGAGGCCAGAAACCCTTAAAGTTCAGAGTGTCCTCTCTGAATACAGATGCCGGCCCAGACGACCCCGTGGTATTCCAGTCTTCACTATGGGCTCTGACAAGAGCCTGACCCTCAGCTGGCTAAACTGAAACTAATGCACATCTCTAGTTTTCTTTCTGCTCCAATTTCATATGCATTGAGTACCTTTTAGGAAAATGGCAAGGCCTCGAGACAGAAAGAAAGATAGAAAGGAGGACAGGAAGCAAGAAAGAAGAAGGTGCATATTGTCATATTAATAAAATGTTATCTTGTAAAATCTTCCACATGCCCATGCAACAAACTGCTTGTTTTTCAATACACAGCGTGCACACAGAGCCAGAGTTGCCCCACTCTTGTGCATGCACATGCACTTCCACCACCTACGACAAGACACTGTGCAATCAATCCCTGAGAAAAAAGACAATCTATTCTGCAAGCTGGAAACCTGAGCATTGAGAAAACAAGGTCGCGTTACTTTATGAATCAAATTTTCCACAAGTAAGATCAACAGATCAAAGCCTGCACACACTTTATTTGACCCTTCCGCTCTTTCAATCGAACAATTTCCACTTTGCTTAATACGGAAGTATATTACTGTAACGGACACTCCATGTTAATTCGGACAATAAGTAACCCTGTCTCCATGACAACAATATAAGGACCTCCCACCCCGGAGTGGAACCAGTAACCATGGAGACATACATTAGACTTCAATTTGGCAGCAAATTACAGTGTTGGGAGCAGGCAGAGGCTAGATAGTAGGGACAGCACCAAATACTGATTTTTTTCAACAGGCCCTAAGTGACATTTAAGTGCACAACTTGAAGCTCTGTATTGATGACCCTTGGCCACCATCTATAACTGTTCTGCATGCCGTCTTCGTTGGTAAGCTAAATCTATTGCACCACATGACTTAGCAACTCGTGCTAAGTGTTGGCACTGTGGGTTAGTCCTATATAGACACTCCCTGGAGGAAGGAACGAGGGAGAGAGGGAGGGAGAGGAAGAGAGAGACAGGGGGAGGAGAGGAGGAGGTCAGGCAGGGGGAGCAGTTGCAAACAGCACTTACTCTGAAGACATGAAGGAGGACAACGGTCCGACCTCCTTCGCCTTCTGGAGAGCGTGCTTCTGGTTGAATGCTGCCTCTGCTTCCTCTTCATCCTGATCAAAAGAGGAAAAAGAGCAAAAGGCGTCTGAACAACGGTGGTGTCCGTGAGTTTAAATAATTAAACAGATTCAAAGTGATGACGACAGAAGAGCATAACTGGACATAGCAGAGTGGAGAGATTATTTAAACTATGTAACAATAATAAAAGCAGACCAGGCTTATTCCTTCACTTGTCTCTCTTTTGTTATTCACTTTTTTATTACCTTGGTAAGTTCTTGTGCATTGGCAAGGTTGTCCACAGCGATGGCCAAGAAGACATTCAGCAGAGTGTCTGGTCACAGCTGAGTTAAGGACGTGGTCAAAGTGCAACCCAGCAACCCTGACTACTACTGACACAACCCTGACTCCTCGATAAGAGACAGATAGGAGTTGTTTGTTTTGAAGGACACATTTTTTCATTTTCTTTTCAAAGGTTACATTGTTCTGTTGTCTTATTGAATACACTACGAAACTTCTTATTGACATTTCCTATCTCTTGTTTTTATTTACAAATTTGGTGTTGAGGTAATCCAAAACTAACGGAAAGTAATCAGGTTGCGTTACTTTAATATTGTGATACTTGGATTAAGTTACTGACTACAGGTATTTAGTAATTTTATCGGATTACATTTTTAAAGTAAATCTCCCAACCTTGTTTATTAGCTAAGCTTAGCAGCTCTGTTACCGATACATTATAGCCTGATGCACCCATCCTATGATACACCGCATATCCCAGCCTGGTTCCTATTGGTCCATGATAATACATAACGCTTCCTGTTGTCAAACATATTATAAACATATTATGAACCAACATACAATAATATGAATAACCATACACAGATAATGACAGATCCAAAACAAAACCAAATTGGATACCTTTACTTGAGTAATAATGGCAGTCAGTTAGCTTAACTAAACTAAAACTAAACTAAAAAGAGTACTGTATATGGCAACCTTCCATTTTTCATAGAAAGAAAGAAATGTAATGAAGGATACAGTTTCCAAACAATGTGAGCACTATAAAGTAGATAGAGGACCACATGCCAGACTTCACTCCTCCTTGAGAGCGAATACCGTTGTACATCACCTCGTTCCAGTCCTCTCCAGTCAGGATCTGAGAAAACACACCCACAACAACACACAAACAATATCATCCACAAAACATGACTGTTCACTTCACATTTGCTAAAATGTTGCTATCTCAAAATTACATTTCCTGCATGTTGCTGTAAAACACTTTAGAAGTAGGGAGCAATAAATTGTCAGGTTTATTTTCAGACCTGAAAGACAGTCATGATGGCTGCAGGAAAGGTGTCAAAGTTTGTCGGAGTATAGTCTTCAAAGATGAACCTGTGAGAAAGAAGTGACACATACGGCCCTTGAAAAAGCAGAGTTGGGTCTAGTTTTTATTTTTTTGGTCAGAAAGAAATCAATTCTCCTCCTCTCCATGTGCTCTGTATTCTAGAGGCCAGTTCATACACAAGGCAGTGGTTGTGTACCTCAGCCAGCCTTTACTGAAGTGACAGCTTCAGGGAAACAGCCTTCCACTCGGGGGGAAAACCAAGCAACACTAGCTGTGTGTGTGACAAAGGCAGAGTCTTAAATCTCGATCGAGCTCACAGTCTCTCTCTATAATATAATGAAAACAGCAGTGAACAGGCGAAAGGACAATCTATTCTCCCCTCAACTGCGTGTATTCAATAAAGAGGAATCTACTGAACCATGAAGTCTACTTTGGCCTTGTTTTTATGTTTGTGAATGTGTCTTTACTGGAATCACAGCAAATGTGCACCGAGCTGAGAGGGAACGAAAAACTGTTTAAAATTGCTGCCAGATTGAGTAGATATGTCTCTCTGCCTGGGTGGTCTCACGCCTTTACTCAGTTTCTTAATGGACCTATATGGATTGATGCACAGAACTATAACCATTAGTAATTTTATTCAGAAGACTGTACATGACAATCAAATGTTACCTGCCACCGAAGAGCTGCATGCCAAGGAGCGCAAAGACAACGATGAAGAGGAAGAGGAGGAAGATGAGGGAGATGATGGACTTCATGGAGTTCATCAGAGAGACGACCAGGTTTCTCAGAGACGCCCAATACCTAACAGTCACAAAAATATCACATATAACATGAGAAATGTGATACTTTACTTAGATTTTTTATGAAGACTCAAAAGGGAACGTGTGTACTACTGCATTTGTTGCTACTGCAAGTTAAAAAGAAGAGGGCTGCTGTGGCCCGCTCCTCATCTCTGCTTGAGGCTAGCATCCTGAGGCTACTAGCAGGATACAATTGAGTCTCCAACCGTACTGCCCACATTTATGCTTTTTTCCCCGCTGTGGGTAATGTAGGCACCGTTTTCATATGGAAGTAGGATTCATGGAATAAAAGGAAGATATCTCTGGTTCTGTTGAATCAATTTTGATCTCTTCTTGAGTCCGACAATGTTATAGGAGTGCTAAAATAGTGAAGTAGTCTTTTAAAACACAGACAATAATCATGGCCATATATTTAAACATATAATATAGTTTCCTGTCAATCTTTTTTGTGTTTGTTTGTTAATATTGTCTTGTTGACAAGACAGTTGTTTACTAATCCTAAAATAAGAATCCCAAATGCAACACAGAATCCTATATGAATGTAAAATATAGAAAAGTGAATACCACAGCAACATGACAAACGTAACACTACTGCTAACTTTCAGTCAGCAGTAAAATGTTCTTTGTAAATAATATGAAACATCTCAACAGATGGCAAAGAGTGGGGAAGGCTGCGCCACAAACTTGGTGATCTTGAAGATCCTCAGCAGACGGAGAGCACGCAGGACACTGATGCCAAAGGAAGTGCCAGGCCTGAAGAAACCCCACAGCACTTCAAAGATGCTGCCAACAATTACCTACAGAGACATACATTAAAGAAAAGGAATGATGTCTTTAATACAAATACACAGAAACAAATGTGTGTATACTAACATCAGACATAAAGAAGAAAGGGAGAGAGAGGCAAAGATGATGCAACACAGACAGATGAGAGATAGAGGAGGAAAGGTCTGATGCTGCATATTTTAAGAGCACAAGCAGTTGGATTTTGGGAAAAACAAATATGTAGAGAAGGAGACGGAGCACTGACACTGCAGTCGAAGCAGTTGAAGGAGGAGTGGAAGTAGAGACGTGGTCCCAAGCTGTACATCTTCAGAAACATCTCAGTCAGAAACAGAGCGAGGAACAGGAACTCTGCATAGTCTGGAACAATAAAAACAGGCATTTAGATCTTGAAACATACATAGACCATTGCAATTATACGATAAAGGAACAACTTCAGGAGCAACTCCTAATACAAGGTGTCACTGAAAGTGTAACTCACACAGGAAGTTGGACAGCCAGAGGGGCTGGTTGTGGTGAACAATGGCCACACACAGCGTGTTGAGAGCCACTAGGCCCAGCACTGTCCAGTAGAAAGTGTGTGTCTTCACCACACGGCGGATGGAGATGCGCAGGAGACGCTCCTTGCGGCGAAAATACGCTGTTGGACCTCGCTTGGCACTCCTGATACTTGCTCTGGCCATGGGTATGCCTTGTGGATAGAGAGGGAAAAGTAGAAACTGAGGTCTAACTAACAGTGCTTGTAGAGCATGTCCCATTCTCAATCTTGAACTCCCAACAGTGTGATGTTTATAACAGTATCAAGTATGCATTTCTAAAGGCTGCAGCAGAGCACAGTGTGTCCTCCTGGAGTATGCCTTACACTTTATGTGAACATATTTATGAGCCTGTCCACACTCGCACTTACCCACAGAGGAGATGTCACCATATTGTTCCTCCCCTGGATGCCCTCGATGCACCCCATCCATCCCTCTCCTCTTGATGGTGGTGGCTCTCTTTAACACTGCGGACAGAGCAGGTTGTACATAAGAAGTCCCAGAACAAGCTGTTCAAACTGTACAACCAACACATTTTGTGACATTAGAGGGAACATACTGCGAGGATGACTTTTGGGCAATGTGACCACAAAACTCTTTTTGCTTTGATGACATTATGCTGAATCACTAAACATATTTTTGACTTTATTGCTGGCTAACATGGCCCAAAACTAGCCTTGTGTATGAAAACCCTTACATTTTTCAGACACTCCAAGGTAGAGTCAGAGAGTATGCAAGTGCGGAAACGTTTAATGCAATGAAAAGATAATGATGAAGCAAATGATAAGAAGAAAGTGAAGCTCATCTGCCCAAAAAGCTAATGTGTGTGAAGTTTTAGCTGAGAGGGAAAGTTGAGCTCATTAACACTGCAGTTGAATGAGATAAAAATGATCATTTAATGTTAGTGTAACGATCCAAACAACTGAATGGAAACCTTCTGTTACTGTTTTATGAGCTCCGTCATGGCAAACCATGCTCTGAGGCGTCTTGACGGTCCATGCATTTTTCTTATTTGAGCTGTGTTCTAGTGCTGCTATACAGTATCAGGGGGACACGCCGTGCAGTGCACACATGCTTGAGTGAGTGTGATGAGTATGTTTTGACCTTTTCATTGACTGGTGTGTTTATGATTACCTTTCATTCTATCCTATCCACTTTCCCACTACCTTCGTGATTTCTGGATCTACTTGCAGTCAATATTTGCTTCGGGACTTTTTTTTTAATAAGCCACTGATCAAACACACACAGAAACACACAAATACACAGAAATATTGCTGCCATTTTACACACACACAAGAGTGTTTGCTTAAGGCAGGAACACTGAGTCCTGTCAACACACACATACACACATATACAAGCACATGCTGCTGCCTTTTCAGACCAGTGGTTGCTGAGGCAACGGCAGTGCGCCGCCTTTCTTTTTAATCAAAGCTATCAGAGCTTCTGCATTTATTTCCATCACAACAGCTGGAGCCACTATCTGTTTTTACTACAGATGTGCATCATTCAATTTATTTTTACCTCATCAGAGTGTCTTTGTACTGACAGCAACATACTGAACAAGAATCATATTTGAGCAAAGATTTGCTTTCCTTTTTCTATGTTAAAGTGTTAGTATGCGTGCATTTGAGTGTCTCTGTGTGTGTGTGTGTGTGTGTGTGTGTGTGTGTGTGTGTGTGTGTGTGTGTGTGTGTGTGGAAAATGGGGTGGTGAAATTGTTGAGGGAGAGAGCAGAACAGAGGACGGTTCTCACCATAGGCACCACCTGTACTCCACTCTGGGAGACTCCTGAGAGCTGCCAATCAATCAACATTTAATAAAAGCTCTGCTGGTTTAGTGAGGAGGAAAGGTCAAAGTAGAGTTGAGAGGGTCAGAGCAGGCACTTAGCTGTCTGTGGGGCACAGTGTCTAGTGGCAGGTTTAGCACTATCAATGCTAATTCTCTCTATGTGGCACTGAGAGCAAAGTAATGGTGTAAGTGATCTGCGCGCCACAGCAGCAACCAAACCTTGGCAGTACGATACATCTTGACACAGTTTACTGGTTTTCTTGCTGCAAGAGCCACGTGAGCAGACCTTTGAGGCTCTAGGCAGAACGGTGCTTTGAGCTAAATGCTAAGAAGCTCACAATGACAATGCTAAGATTCATGACGGTACTGTCAGCCTGATAGCCACTGTGGGGCCAACTGAGATCGCAACATCATTTAACTTTGATAGTTTACTTCCATAGGAATGCTCCCCTACCTTTTGGCACATTTCACTATGACTGAAACCTACATGCAGGGATAATGTTTACCATGTTAATCATCTTAGTTTAGCATTTTAGACTCTGCTAATCTGCACTTATCAGCTGACAGCTGAGGATAGTATTGCAGATATTTGGTGATGAACAAACTATAATTTTAACCTGACGATGGCGCTAAAAGAAAAGTCAGGGGATCATCAAAGTTGTTGCTGTGGTGCTTTGAGATTCTTTTGATGCTAACATGCTTGTTTACCATGTACACCATCTTAGTTTAGCATGTTTGCATGCTAACATTTGCTGAATTAGTTTGGTCATGAACTGAAGTATTGCACAAATAAAAATTTTGATCTGATGGTGGTGTTAGATAAAAGGTCAGGGGATCGCCAGAGTTATTAGGATTGATCCTGCTGGCGACATTAATATCTGTACCAAATTTCAGAGCTTCTAATACTTTTTACTCAAAACCACAAATGTGAACGTTGTGGTGGCACACAACTAAAATCAAGATCACCCAAGTTATTAGGATTCATTGTCTGGGGAACCAAGAATCTCTGTTCAACTTTTTGTGCCAAATCATCTAGTACATGTAGATATTGAGATATTTCACTAAATACGTGAATTTTGACTTGCTGGTGGCGAGGACAGATTAGGGGAACACCAAAGTCTGCAGGATTCATCCTCAAGGGACCCAGGAATTTGTGAATAACATTTCATGCCAATCCAGCTATAGTTGTTAAGATATTTCAGTCTGGACCAAAGAGGTCCAACTTAATTGGAAAGGCTCCTATATCCATATCTTAAAACTAGTGTGTCAATCTAAAATAAGACAAATACACAATAGAGACTTTAATAACATATGCCTGGATAGCCTTTATAAAGCACATCTGCATCAAGTGTACATGCCAGCATTAAACAGTTGAAGAGAGACAGAATGTAAAGCAATGTGAGGATAGCAGAAAGACAATGTGCACTGTGAAACCAGGAAAAGACAAAGATCTCTGCTGACTTACCATCGAGGGCAGAAGGTCCTGCATTCTTATTCTCCTCGGCAAGCATCACTTCCTCTGGAAAGCAAAAAAAACACAATCAGAAAAGAGCACCAGAGGGCTCAGATGGAAAGAGATATACTGGCATCTTTTGTAACTATATTTATATCTCAATTGTGGTGGAATAAACGGCTAAAAGAAAACATCAGATAGTCCTATGTTCCACAATTTACAGGATTAGTCTTAAAGCTTAAAGTGAAATATCGATTTTCCTTTTCTCATCAAGAGCCAAATCCTTGGTCTCACTGAGCTGTGACTGAGACTAAAGCCACCTGCTCTGTCGATCCAGGCCCGGTAGCCGTTGAGCTCTCTCTCAATCTGCTGTTGGCGTCTCAGTTTCATGAAGGCCCTGCGGTTTTCCACCCTCTCCCTCTCCTTGGCAAATTCCCTGCAGAAACAAACCACAGACTCATTTATTTACTCTTTGAGGGTACAGGGATTTATAGTCACACGGATAAATAATTCCTCTTGGAGACAATCACCGGGGGAAAAGCTATTGCTGTCTTGAACAAAGCTCTTCTCATTGTTGATTCAACCACAAGAGGAGAGGAGAGAGAGAGAGACAGCAAGGAAAAAGGAGGTCTGTTCTCTCTCACTGTGGAGATAATGACAATGGATCCCTCATTAACCTTTCTGTAAAACTAATTAACTTGTATAGACTTTGACACCATGTACTGAAACAGCACAGTTTGGTTTGACAGTAGCTAGTTTGCCAGCCACTCAACCAGTCAGTGAAAAAGCAAGTTACACTGTGTCGTCTGTCCTCCAGCCGAGCCTGCTAGATTCTAATTCAACAGGACAACAAAACCAGCTGAGTGTATGCTTGTAGCCCATTTCGGGGGCCGTCTACTTTGAAGGATGTGGCCTATACTGTACATGTAGCCTTGGAGGGACCTGGAAACTACGCTGAACCTGTGCCCTACTTTACAAAAGATTCAGTCTATCTTGACAGACCAAAACTAATGGTGCATTTTGAGTGGTCATTAGTTAGTTAAGTGAATCCCCTTTTCCTGTGTAGGACATATGGCCATCCCTATTTATTACCTTGTTGTTCCAACTTTCAAAAAATGGGATAAAAGTTAAAATATTCTCTTCATTTTCTTGCTGGGGCCCCCTACAAGCCACTCAAGAACCCTTTTCAACAGTTTGAAATCCACCCTGGGTAGTGATATACAACATGTGCAGGCTGCTTATAAGACAATTTCTAATCCCCACACAGCAAGGTGCAGACCAGTGTGAGCTTCAATGCAAGCCTATCAAACTTATAAACACACCGCACAACTCTTCTCCTGTGCTTTATTTACCAAAACGTTTTCAGCCATCTTGCCTTCATTAGGGTGGCGTCTGAAGTTGTTTCCCAATTCTTTATATAAAGACAAGTCAGTGAATAAAGCATTGTGCACTGGAGAAGAGTTGTGTGATGTGCTGCTGATAAGAACAAACAGTGGATTGTATGCCTGGGCTTTGACAAGGAGCAACAATGTGTTGAAAGGGCCACTAAGGATATGTAACACCATTTGTGTTTAGCAGGAAGAAGGCATCAAATAGGCAGCCCCTTATGTGTGACACACAGACAGCTCACAGAAATTTGCATTATGTCATGACTCCATAAAAAGCCAGTGATAATCAAAGTATTATACTTGATGATAATAGAATATCCATCACAAAAGGCTGAAACCTTGATGAGTTTAAAATGAACTTGAACTGAAATGTGAGCCTACCCAGAGAGGACTCCCAGCACCAGGTTCAGGACAAAGAAAGAGCCGATGATGATGAGAGGGATGAAGTAGAGCCAGTTCCAGTTGGGGCCCAAGGCATCGTCGGTCTGAAACATCAAAATAAATTCTAAATTCAGTAAAATGAAGTCAGGCTGGAGGAGACTCATGCTGCCATTGGAATATGAGATAAAAATACACAAGTGTAGGTGTTTGGGTGGCTGCTGAAGGTTCCAGTCGGAGTCCAGGCGGGGCACCGAACAGAGACATCATGTGTATTGATCTGCTCTGGCCTCACACAAAGAATGCGGAGGAGAGTGAAGGTATTCTGTATACTGTATGAAGCCAATATAGAAACAAAGTATTGCACCTCTACTTTATTTTACAGCACCTGGACCTGAGAAAGTTTCATGATGAGCATTTGAATGTGTGTTTATGTACACATATTCACGCCTAGTGTGATTCTTCGGTACAGTGACTGTTCATATGGGCGTGGACCTCTGTGTATTTAATGTTGATTAAATTGACTACCGTAAACATCAGTCTGTACCGTATGGTCAGCAGTCCTTTTTTTCAGCAGCATGTCGTCCCTCTGTTTCCTCCCTCCCTCTTTCTTCATCAGCAAAGCTCATTCAGCATCACTTTAGACAACATAATACAATCACTCTGGCAAATCATCTGCCTTCATCTATCTCAATAAAAACTGAAAGAGCAGGCAGCTAACCACAAATTACACCCTTGCACAGCAGTTTGTGCTTCACTGTGACAATCTGAGGTAAAAACATTTTTTTTTAAATAAATGCATAAAAGCATACAGTAAATGTTCTGCATCTATTATCTATGTTTCCTTCCTTTCTTCTGATTAAAACTGGCCAAAGTCATGGAAGTATTTTACAGCCGAGTGAAAAAATCTGTAAAACTTTTTTCTTGTTATCTGCTAACTTGTGAACGTCACTGTTCCCAAACTTCATGCGTTGGAGTTTTTGATCAATTCATTTTCAGTTTTTGGCCTTGAAGAAGAGTTTTTTTCAACTGTTTTTTTCATCTTATTAGATTAGATTTCACCAAAAACACCTTGGATCTGGAAAATACTGTGTTTGAAAATTGACCAAAACTGACCCTGAAACACTCAGAAATGTCTGGCTGCAAAAGCTTTTGGAAACGTTTCCTTCATATCTGAGGCAATAACAGTACCAAATCTAATTTTTACATTTATTTTGCCAAAAAATAAATTATAGAGAAAAGAATAAAAGTTAACAAAATGGTGCAGTCTCTCTCAGAATACGAACTAAATTGAGAGAGCTTTTCTAATGGCAGTACTGCACGAGGCATCTAAAATTTAAAATTAAACAATGTATCACAGAGTTATGGAGATTCTTGAGGAGATTTTCAGCTACAAGATCCCCAGGGACCCCCAGATTGTGCACCTTGGATTGATACCCGATGACCAAATCCTGATACATGTAAAAAGGCCATCAACAAGAAGCTGGTAGAAATGTGACACTCCACGTCCAAAACAGTGGCTGAACATGAAATATATTCCATGGAAAAACTGACTCAGTGTCTAAGGACTAAAGCAGGGACCCATGATCAACACTGGGGAAAACAGACTGTTTTGTTGTGGACTGTTCAGTGTTACAGTAAATGAAAAAGTAAAAAAACATAAATTAATAATGTGTCCATGCATACTGTAACTTTATAAATTTGCCCATATGAGTAAATCTTTCTTGCAATGTGAAACATATATATTTTATTTTACATGGGCAGGATTTTGTACAGTGTTCCTATCTGAACAGGATCTTGTAATTCGGCTGTAGCCAGTGTGAAATTATGATTTGACTTGATTTGTTGGTCATGAAGGCAACAGATATATCAAATTAGAAAATGGTGCCACTGCCTGCCACTGCTTGCCTTTCTGTCTACGTACTGTCTGTGTGTGTCTGCCTGCCTGTTCCTTTCGCTCTGACACTCATGAAGCACAGTGCAGCATTTCATCCCCATCTGACAGTTACTCTATGACATTGTTTCTGGTCTCAACACTCATTATTTGAACACACTCTACGAGATGGAACATGACACAGTGTTTTGCTGTTTTCTTTTGCATAACTTTAAGGTATTTCAAAAACACTTGTTATAAAATTATTCCAGTGGAGGAAGGAAGGACTCTTAGTCCAAGAGTCCTTGAGCATAAATACCTTCAGTTTACTTGACTTGTGTCAATCTGTCCTTCCAGTCAGTCCCACTGAGCAACAACATTTCTGACTCAGCAAGCTCTTATTCTGAATGAATCTTAGAACAATCACTGCTTTGTGGTGTGGACCAGATATCAGTCAAGCAGGATCACAAAAGTTAACACTATATATATGAATATACAATATATCACACAAACATTGAAGAATAAAAACACTATTAGAGACATGGCAGACACTTTTCTGCTAAATTTCTCCTGATAAAGACAATAATACGTGTATTGAATGATGGGTAAACAGAAGCAAAAAAGCTAATTTTCAATCAACTCTTCATATTCATACGGTACATTGCAGAGGTTTATACTGTGAATAACACTCAATTACATTTCTAAGAGAAGCGTGCCATGTGTCATAACTAGTAGGTGGGGAGTCTCATTTCTATTCAGCTCTTGCAGCAAAGTGTAGCAGGTTATCCATTTGTCAGGATAGATGGAATAAAAATGGCAGGCTGAAAGCAAAACAGGAATCAACACAGCACGCTGCAGTTTCAACACTACAACCCAGTAACCCTCCAGACCTCCACTCAGCAGCCATCAGTGTGCTGGAGCCAAAGCCGCTTCTGTTCATTAGAGTTAATAGAGTCTAAATTGTGACAAAACACTGCTACACCTCTATCATTTGCAGCAATCCAGAAAAATATTACGATTGACACGTGTGTGTGTTTGTGTTGTCTTACATTGTAGAGTACAGTGGTCCATCCCTCCATAGTGATGCACTGGAAGACAGTGAGAACAGCAAACAGGATGTTGTCAAACTGAGTGATGCCGTCATTAGGGCCAATCCAGTTATCGATGCAGTTGTATTTGGCCGGACACCGGCGCTCGCCACACGGGAACTCCAACTCGGAAGAGTCCACTGTCTCGTTTTCTGAACAGAAAGGTGCAAAGATAGAGAGACAAAAGGCAAATAGGATATGTGTCTTACATTAGACAGAAGTTCCAACAACAGAAAACAGACTTTTCTTGTTCATTGAATTGAATTGAAATTTGAAAGCTATCATGCATATAACAACTTAGAGTATAAATATTTTATTTTCATGTCTACTGGTCTTTAAGCTTCAGCTCATCAAGTTTAAACCAATCTATGTACCCAGAGAGCAATGACGCCCTACTGCAGAGTGCCTGACTGAACAGTAACTTGACAGAAAATACTCACTTCAGTCTGTCTGTGTTATCTAACTGTCCATTCAACTTCAGTGTGATGGGAACAGCTTGGAGGTTAATGACAGCTGTGAATGTACAATGACCCATTGTAGCGCACTGCATTGTTGGTTTTAATTATACCGGACAAAACCGCCAGTTTGGTTTGATCAAGTCTCCAGGTGCAGCCTGGCATGCCATTTTGTGTATGTGTGTATGCATTTGTGATTATGACAACGGAGCGGCTTCATTAGGCGCCACGTACGCGACACACACACACACACACACACACACACACACACACACACACACACACACACACACACACACACACCACAAACAGACACAACAGCAAAAGAATGAACTGAGTCCTGATTTATGCTCTGTGATGCAGTTTTCTGTCAAAAATAGTTCTAAAATTAGTCTTTTATCTGTTCACATTTATGAATTATTCACTACCATTTCAGGCCCTTTCTACAAATTGCTCTCTTTTGTTCCATCCATGCCATCAGTGTGTGGCAGAGGTGTTGAGACAATTTCCTGTTTTTTCAGTGAGATTCAAATTAGATCTTGGCTTAAGATGAATAAAATATTTGAATAACGGTAATCATAGTCATCGATGTCACTATCGGATACCAACACAAATGGAGTATGAATAATTACATATGTACTGTGTGCGTGTGTGTATTTAAACTGGAACACTGACTTGGTTCACAACTAATGGACACACCGACACACACTTATATATATTTATATATACTTCCTGTCTGTGAAATGTTGAACGGAAATATCTGTGCATGTGGTTACGTTCTATGTATAACATAATGGGCTGGAAGCTTTTTTTAAATTGTAATGATACATCTACAAATATTGGAGACTTGATCTCCCCAAAAGACAAATTGTACACATCCTGTACAAGTACACATTTGCATACGCCACATGTAATAATAGTAATAGTAATAATTGTAATAATCTCTATAGCTGTGTGCTATAGAGACAAAGACAATGAATGTGTACCGAGTATTCCAGACTGTGGCTCGCAGGTTCGGTGCAGTCTGCCGCTGTAAAACTCCAGGCCGATGATGGCGAACATGAGGATTGCAAAAAAGAGCAGCAGGCCAATCTGCAGCAGAGGAACCATGGCCTTCATGATAGACTTCAGGACTATCTGCAGACCTGAAAGTAAAGCACACAGTGACCAGCAAGGTTAAAATGCGCTTCTTGGGAAACATGCATGTCATAAAATGTTGGCAAAGTTGGCCACAGTAGGCCCATCTCCTGGCCAGGGATCTGTATGTGCAACTAGATGGAAGCAGTATGAAGAAAGGGTTGACGGGGTGCTTGGGGTCATGAGTTGAGGTGTGTGCTCTGCATGTAATAGCTTTGCTGTTGAGGTCTGAGATTTTTGGGATGGGGAGACCAATAATTTTCGAGGCGTGTGTGAGCGATGTGTTTGAGTTTATTTCTTTTGGAGGTGGTTAGCATGGTAAAGAAATAGGGAGAACAATAGAGGAGAATGGGTTGGATTGTACTTCTATAGAGCAGCAACAGAAGGTGGGGCACAGCAGAAAGAGACAAAATCAAAAAGCATATTTTCACTCTAAAGTGTATCTAGCTATTCAAACAGTTTTGATTTTATTTCTTTGGAACTGCTTTCTACTAAAAGTTGGCAATGCGTGCTGTGAAGAAACAGGGACACTGTTTCAGAATTAGATTGTTTAAATTTATTTAAAATATAGTGTTAGGGCCACAAACACTCATTAGGATGAAGCCTTAAATTTCAGTGACGATATCTTCATGGCAAGATACCACTAGGGGAGCGAGAGAATCATGTTTTCTTTTCTTTTTTTGTAATATGTAACATAAAACTGAAAGAGAAAACTACAGTCACAATTGCAATAAAAAGATATTGATGTAACCATATGTGGTACTCACTGGGGATGCCAGAGACTAGTTTGAGGGGTCGGAGCACTCGCACCGCTCTCAGGGTCCTCAGGTCCACTGAGATGTTCAAATGTGTCCCTGCTGCAGCCAGGATCCTAGAGAAGTAAACACAAACAAACATGCATATGCAAACCCACGCAAACCAAAGACACAGAGCAAAATTGTCACTGTCTTGCAGGTGCATATGAATACTGCAATTTTACGCTTTATAAGCTGTGTGTCAAAAAGGGGATTCACACACACACACACACACACACACACACACACACACACACACACACACACACACACACACACACACACACACAGACATATAAATACATTAAGGCCATCACACACAGTGTTTGAGGGTGGCTGCAGTGCTTAGATACGGAGTGTAAGGACGTGAGGGTCTCCAGCAGGCAGGGAAAACAGAGAGAACAACAGGAATGCTTCTGGGGGCTTTTGGCTGTTTCCCTGTGTGTGGGAGGATGGCTGTGACAACTGCTATTTAAGAGGAGAACAAAGAAAGCGGCTCCATCAGGGGAAGGCAGGACACCCTGAGGCTGGAGAGACATGAAGCTCACGTGGACACACACGTCGCAATCACATCGACCTTTTATCTGCTATACAAAGCCAGAGTCCTTCAAAAAGTTCCACTTTTACTTTGTTTGTCTTGTTTTGTCTCCTCTACCTCTCTAAATACACCTCTGTGGCCTTCAGCCCTCAGACTGATGAGAAAAAGGAAAGCAGTGTCTGGTGACCCCCCCCCCAACACACACTTCCTCATTAGTCTCTTTTCTCTCTCTCGTCTCTATACTTTCATATCTTGCTCTTCATCCATAAACCTCTCTCCTCTCATCTACCTCTTCCTTTTCAACCTCCTTCCCAATTATACTCGCACCTCTGACTTCTTCGTTTTTCTGTTTTTCACTGACCTGAAAACACATTTATTCCCCTTTCACCTGGATGCCTATTGGGTGAAAGACAGAGATAGATGGACAAGGGAGGTAAAAACAAAAGAAAAATAGCGAATGGGGAGTTGAGTTTACCAAGGAGAGAATAGAGCAGCATTTTATTTTAAGACCCTCTCCCAACTCTAAAACTCAATCTTAGGTCCAAACTGCTCTCCTGGCCGTGTAAAATCAATGATTGCTAAATAATTATACTCATTAATTCACTTTGGTCATAAAGAGAAGACAAATATGAAGCAACAGCATATAAAAGAAAAATGTTTAAGGTAATTGATAGACCCTGTAAACACATTTCTGTGCAGTAATGTTAAAGAACCAGCTTTATGTGCAGTCATTTGCTTTAAAATGATAGCATACTTAATTGTCACAGCAACACAGACCCAATTACAGTCCTGTGATACAGAATTAGTCTATAGTGTTCGGAGACACAGAGCGTCATCTGATTTAATTAAGAGAAGGAAGAGAGAGAGTGAGAGAAGAGGGAGAAGGACTAAAATAGCTCACCATCATCCACACAAATACAGAAATAGAATTATCCTTTCACACCTGTAACTATTCTCCAGTGGATTTTCTCTCCCTTTCAGTCCCAACACTCTTCCCACTGTTTCTTTTCTCCTTCCCTCCTTTTACTCCAATCACTCCTTCTGGTGCCTCCTGCCACCTTTGTCATTTCATCCCCCACTTCCTCCATCTCTCAATCTTTCCTCAGACCATTAGTCAGTCCTGGCTGCTCTTTAGTTGTTATGGAGACAAGGGGATAGAGGGGCTAAAAATGGCTTCCTCATTTAGCCCACTGTTATTCAGTGGATGTCCTGGACCCTGTTTTCATAATTATGACCGTTTGTTGAGTGTTTTTGAAGAGAGGGATGCTCTTAATGTCCAACCTAATTTACAAAACCTTTTTGCGGACAGAAATCATGTAAATGGGATTTTTTTGTTTCAATTTTAGTTTTATTAAGCCGAGGTGCAATACAAGATACCGTATATGTTAATGCTCGCAGACAAGAAAAAACCATTAAAGCTACAAAAAGAAAATGTTTGCTGCTGGTTTCCAGTCTGTGGCTCTTTTGTGTCTTGGGCTGCTGTCTGGAGGTCAGTATCACCGTCACAGTAATAAAACAGAGGCAGCCACTGCTGAAGCCTACAAATATAGATTAGAAATACATTGTTTTGATTGGCTAAATGCAAAGACATTCTCTATATAGGGGGCACCTCCAGGAGAAAAATATCAAACGTCAAATCTCTCTGTGTTACATAGGGTTATTTTTACTTTAAAGAAGACACTGATGTGTATAATGTGTCAGTTGGACAAAGTGTTTACATGTTGTGTGTAAATTATGCATAAACTTTCCCAAAACTGCATTGAAGCACAAGTACATCCGCACAGCTGTTAAGACCTGACCATGGTGATTCATATGACCGTAAACTTTAATGAAGCTCAAAAGGTCAGAAAGCCTGTTCTTTTGAATATTGGCCTGTAGATTATTGTTCTTTTCATTCTGCCATTCACTCTTCTCACGCGTGCTCGCTCTTTCTTTGCTGTCATTATCTGGGGCTGTCAATTGATATCAGCTGTGTTCATAATCTACTCTCATCTATCCAATAGCACAGCGATACGCTGTCATTGTTGGCCTATCATCATCTTTTTAAATATGATTCTCTTATCCTACTCTTTCTGCCTTCAGTTCATTCATGCTGCTGCTCTGCGCGCCCCTCCACCTCCCCATCACTGCCCAGTCTTCACAGAGTCCTCAGCCACCACCACCACCACCCATGTCTGGACTCCATGGGGGGATTTATCTAACTGCTGTTCAGGACAGACACTCCACAACTGCAACTCCTTGTAGAGTCTAAGTGCCAAAGTCTTTCTGTCCTGCTTCATTTTCATATCATCTGCCAAAATAAATATGATCCTTTCTTCATCTACTTGTCTCTTGTGCTTGAACTGCCTGTAAGCCACCTTATGTTATATATTTGAAAAGGCATAAAATACAAAGCTTTAATGAAACAAAAACCCTCTTTGCTCTCTCTCCTCTTTCAGTTGGTATTTGTATCTCTCAAGTCTTTACCTGATACATCCTGGCAGATTTTTTATCGACCTCTTGGTTAAACAAGCCTCTCGTAGGCTGTTATTGTCGAGAATGGGAACATTCTTTATCAAAGAAGAGAAATTACTAGTTCACCTACACAGTCCAGATAAAAATGAGAAACATCTGATGAATTTATAAGGGAGATATTACCAAAACACACAGTTATACAACCTCCCTCCATCTCAGTGCTTTGCAATCATCATCATGACAGCTATGCTGCACACTATTGCCGTCTGGAGATTGGCACGTATGACAGAGATGAGGAAGGTGAAGGTTGGCCACAGAAATTGGCAGATGTAAAAAAGCTGAAGGAAACACAACACATGGCTGATTTGGCGCAAATGAAAAATTTGGCAAACAGTTTATTTCCTCTCTGTAGTTTCTTTTCTCCCTAATGTAGGGTTATTCATTCATTTGTTTATCTGTTTACAGTTTGTGTCTATTTTATGATTTGAATGAAATCACTTGTGCGGTATTGTAAATCATTTTACATGCTGCTAAAACCTGTATCTTTGATTGCTTTTAATAGAGTCTTAATTTAAATACATTTTAGAAACAACCCTAAAATTCACTATAAAATGGATTTAATAGCCCTCTCACAGTTTCTTTATGTTTTTTGTCTCTTTCAACTAAACTAGATTGTCAACAAAGGATTTTTGTTACAGTGGGTGCCTCATTGGGATGAGAGGGTCTTTGGGGGTTTAACCCTGGTGGTCACTTCCTTCACTGATCCCAGAGAGAGAGAACACACATCTGACAGGTGCCTGGTGTATCTACAAGTTAATAAAGTCACTTTTAGTCACTAGGAGCTGTCACACAGAAAAACCTCTTTGTTCACCCTGCACGTATCTGCAGGCGTTGTGTGAGAAACACACTGTGGTGAACCGAGCTGATGCCCTGGTCAGAGTTGTCAGCCATGATAAGTAAGTAACAATGACATACCCTGCAGAACTGACAGCTTCCCACTGCGTGACAAATCTGTCATGACAACCGTCATGCCGTGATACTGATAACGTTGTGACTTATGCTCCATGTCACTGTCAAGCTGCTAACTAATACGATATGAGCGCACCTGACTATTGTAATGATATTAATTGCACCGCATGTGTAATTTACACCAATGGTTCTCAGCTCAGATGGTTGCAGGATAATTTTGGTGTATCACAAGATGTTGTCTAATACAAAAGCATATTTCTGCAAGACATGTTTTAATTGTTCTCAAATCTTTACTTTTATCTTGTGAAATAACTTTTTTTTCAGCTTCTCCAAAATTTTTAAGGATGAAATCAAATCAAATAACCTCTAAAGAGAAACTCTTTCCCTGAATTGCTTTACAATGTGAAAATTATGAAAAATGTGTTGACATGACATACAGTATGCGATATGGACAATAGCATATCACATGTAGTACCAGAGGCCAGAAGCATCAGCTGGATGTACAGCACACACACTGATGGCTGAAAACCCCAATAAACGGTTGTCACAGCCGACATTTTAATTTATCACAGCTTGAAAATCAGCTGTGTTAAAACATTAATGATGGTTTTCTTCCAATCAAGCCCCTTCACACCTGTGGTCCACCGACACAGGTGTTTGCACTTCTGAAAACATCTGTGTGGGTATGCAGGCCCTTGAAGTGCCCCAGTGAGCCAGCATGCACAGTTTTAGGGCCCTGGAACGAGCACATTTAAATGAAATGGAGTCGTTCTCAATGTTATCAATTTAAGCTGGTCCATTCTGGTGATTTCTATGTCTTAAGGTCAGGTGGAGGACGTCTATATAAGCTAAATGATATTGTACTTAGTTCTTGGAAAACTGACTTCTCAAAAACAATATTTAATACAGTATATAGTAATTAATGTTTCAGTGTGTATAATCCAGTGGGATTACTTGCAGTTGATTACATCAGGCACAGAAGATCCAGCAGCACTGAGCACTAACACACGCCATGAGATGCTGAGCTGGATACATACAGAAAGGTCTGTGTTGTTGAGTGTGGACCGAGTCTTTATGGCAGTGTACAAAGAAGCATGTGGATATTAACTACTACAG